TTGCTTTTTACGGCTAGGGGACTTTTTATTTCTGGTTGTGGTTTTTCATCCATATTAGATGTCCTGCTAGTTTTCCTCTTTTGTCTTCCACAAACTGTGTTGCCTATTTTGCTTTCTGCTAAGGCATGTGGCTGTTGCTTTGTGCATAGGAGAGTGCCTGATAGGAATTGTTTGTTTGTTGTTGTGTTTGTTTAGTGATATTTGCTATTGCCTTCATCTTAAAGGTAAGGAAAATGATGCTCAGAGTAGTTAAATGGCATGGGCAAAGGCTATTAAGAACAAGTGAGGATTGATAAGCCTCTGTTAACCTTTGCTGCATTGCTGGTCTTTAGAGTCCTCTTTACACTTCAAGCCTAGTGCACATCCTTCCTCTTCTTGGAAGCTTCCTAGAGCTCCATGGCAGAATGAATGTTCTCCTCCATAGGTCTCCCCTTGCGCTGGCCCTCGATGGAAGAGCATCTGAGTTAGGAGGGTTATCAAGACCATGTTTACATTTTTAATCACAGTTGTAATATTTTTGCTAAGTGGTCACCCTGTGTGGGTAATGTTGCATTTGGGCTTTGAACCCAGATCTTGCCCTTACTCATCTGTGGTGAGACAGATGAGCTGATGGATATGAAGGCCAGGACTGGACACCCAGTGAGATTTCTCCTCTGTTCCTTTTCTTGCATTAGCTCTTCTTCATAGGCTTGCACACAGTGTGCATGTACTCTTTTTAATGTTTATTTGTCAAAGGAGATGGTCATAAATTACTGGACAGTTGTAAGCACTTTTTTGGTGCTCAGTTAAGCACCATACTTCTTTTTCTTTTTTAAAGATTTTATTTATTTATTTGAGAGAGAGAGAGAATGAGAGATAGAAAGCACGGGAGAGAAGAGGGTCAGAGGGAGAAGCAGATTCCCTGCTGAGCAGGAAGCCCGATGTGGGACTCGATCCCGGGACTCCAGGATCATGACCTGAGCCGAAGGCAGTCGCTTAACCAACTGAACCACCCAGGCGCCCTTTCTTATAGTTTTTGACATTCTCTGCCACCCACCTCTGGCAACCACCAATCTGTTCTCTGTATCCATGAGCGTGTGGGTGGTTGTTTTTATTCCAGATTCCACATATATTCCACTTACGATAAGGTGATCTTGGTTATTGTCTTCTGATGAGTTAATACTTTGTTTTTCTAAGGAGGCAAATGAATTTATATTATTTGTCTCTTAATAGAAATTCTAAATTCTATGCTTTCTGAGGTGGGTTTGGTTTTTAATATTAGCTCTACTGTTAGTCTTAACTCATTGGGTTTGAAAAGAGTTTATGTACAGTAATAATTAAATCTTTTTTTTTTAGTCCAGCCTTTGTTTATATGTATATTTTCTTTTTTTTTTTTTTAAGATTTTATTTATTTGACAGGGAGAGACACAGCGAGAGAGGGAACACAAGCAGGGGGAGTGGGAGAGGGAGAAGCAGGCTTCCCGCTGAGCAGGGAGCCCAATGCGGGACACTTGATCCCAGGACCCTGGGACCATGACCTGAGCCGAAGGCAGATGCTTAACGACTGAGCCACCCAGGCGCCCCTATGTATATTTGCTTTTTTAAACTCAGAATTTGGGGTCATACTTCATATATGTAGTCCTGCCTTTTCAACTAATATCATTGATATATTTTCACATCAGTAAATACTTTTTAAATATTGAGTGGCTACATAAAACTCCATCACAAATATACTATAGTTTAATAAGCAATATTCATTATTCTAATTTTTTGGTCTTAAAATGTGCTGATAAATATTTTTATATAAAAATCTGAATGAAGCTCTGTTTCTTTAGGCTAAGTTCCTAGGAGTAGAATTAATAGGTCAAAATGTATATGTTTTTAAGCCTTTTGAAAATATTTATAATACTGGGGCGCCTGGGTGGCTCAGTCACTGGGCGTCTGCCTTCGGCTCAGGTCATGGTCCCAGAGTCCTGGGATCGAGCCCCGCATTGGGCTCCCTGCTCCTTGGGAAGCCTGCTTCTCCCTCTCCCACTCCCCCTGCTTGTGTTCCCTCTCCCGCTGTGTCTGTCTCTGTCAAATAAATAAAATCTTTAAAAAATATATAATACTAAAGTTTAGTTCTCATATATATTGATGCATCACAAAATCGATGTTTATAGATTAGTTAAGAACCACAGAGAAATTTTGACATTTTTCTATCATACCTTGTGACTCTACCAGACCCCGATATTGTTATCTTTTATCTTCGAAACAGTATCCAAGCAAATGGCCAAAGAAGTTAACCCCTTACTCCAGAGCAGCACTTATTTACTTACTTGTGATTTTATAGTTACTGAGGTGATAGTTTTCTCTAACTAGACTGTGAACTCCATGAGGGCAATAACCATGTCTGTTTTTCAGTGCCAGTGTATCTAGCTCCTGTCACAGTATTGTAGACAATCAATGAATATTTGTTGAAAGGGATTGAAAAATATATAGTATAATTTTTTGTGCTGAAATGCTATAGGAGCATATGATTAAGATTGTTTACTTGGGTTTTGAGTTTAGATGCACTTAGATTTTATTCTTCATTCTGCCACTTAGTTGCTGGTTGGTCCTGGGCCAGTGCCTGGTACAGCAAATGATAGTACTAGTTACTGTTTTTCTGGCTGTCCCATCTGTCTCTGGTTATGAAGGCCTTGAAAACAAGGATATTGTCTGGATCTCGTTAGCACCAGAACCTACCACAGCACCTGTTCTCATAAATAATTGTCAAATTGAAGTTTTGAATTTATGGTTGTGAGGGATGTTATGGCATAAACTGTAGTTAATGCCATTCTTCACTTGTACTGAACTTGTGTTCCTCTGAAAGTTTCTTGTTCTCTCTGGTACCTGGAGTTTAGATACAGCACTTCCTCTGCCTGGGGTAGTCACATCCTCTTTTTACCTTATACATAATTTGTCCTTTAGGACCCAACTTAGACTTTCCTTCTCCTGGAAAGTATTCTGTAATGTCTCTAAGAGTGGGTGTCTTTTCTCTAGAATTAGGATTTTTAATTTTGGCACTACAGACATTTGCGCTGGATAATTATTTTTGTTGTGGGGGACTGTCCTGTTGATTGTAGAATGTTTAGCAGCAGTATTCCTGGCATCTACCCACCAGATGCCAGTAGCATCCCTTCCAATCATGACAACCCAGGATGTCTCCAAGTCATTGCCAAATATCCCATAGGGGACAGAGTCACTTTCAGTTGAGAACCACTCTAAAATTAGACTTCTTACCAAATAGTATTATAGTTGCCAGATTTTCTTAAGCTGTTTTTTTCCAATAGAATATAAGTTCCTTTGAGGGCAAGGACTGTACTTTTTTTTTTTTTTTTTTTTTTTGTAAATCTTCAGCGTTTAGCTATTGTCTGATGTAGAAATATTTGGTATTTGTTGAGCGGATTGAATATAATTCAGTGTAATGGTTGCCAGATATTTCATGACACACAAGCCCTGTTGTAAACTGAGACTTAGGTTGATTATTAAATATATAAAGGCTTCTGGAGGTTCTTATTAGTGGTTTATGCACAAGTGGACAAATATCCCTAGTGTTTTTCCTTACATTGGATATCTTTTTTGGTTTGTCTGTTTATTAATTAGTTTATTTGACCTAGCTTTTGTTTGGATGTTATATGTTTTGAAGTTCAAGTCCAGAATTCGTTGGGAGACATAGAATTTGTGCTCTCTCAATATGGAATTCACAATGTTATATCCCCTTGTGGGTGGAGGGGAGTGGTTTTGTTGACTATAACTTTGCTGTACATTCAAAGTCTTGGTGAATAGCCTTCTGTTGTTAAATTTTATAGAGCAGTTTTTTTTTTTGAATTTTTCATCCCTTTGTATATTTTCTTTGCAAGTCAGTAAATATTAATATTTTTGTGATCTTGGGTACTGGCTTTTTCCCACAGGCTGAGACTTAATAGGAGGACTTGAGGAAGTAATGGGAGAATATTTTTGAATTTGGTTCTAAATATGATAGTCTTTCCCCATCACTGCCCTGATGAGATTTTTGGGAGAAGTAGGAGTCTTTCCTGCTGCTGCTTTGTCTTTTTATCAACCCACTCCTACACCAATATATATTTTTTTAATTTTTTATTGTTATGTTAATCACCATATATTACATCATTAGTTTTTGGTGCAGTGTTCCATGATTCATTGTTTGTTCATAACACCCAGTGCTCCGTGCAGAACGTGCCCTCCTCAATACCCATCACCAGGCTAACCCATCCCCCTCCCCCCTCCCCTCTAGAACCTCAGTTTGTTTTTCAGAGTCCATCATCTCTCATGGTTCGTCTCCCCCTGACATACTCCCCTTTTCTTCCTCTCCTGTTATCTTCTTTTTTCTTAAAATATGTTGCGTTATTTGTTTCAGAAGTACAGATCTGTGATTCAACAGTCTTGCACAATTCACAGCGCTCACCGTAGCACATACCCTCCCCAATGTCTATCACCCAGCCACCCCATCCCTCCCACCCCCAACCACTCCAGTAACACTCAGTTTGTTTCCTGAGATTAAGAATTCCTCATATCAGTGAGGTCATGTGATACATGTCTTTCTCTGATTGACTTATTTCACTCAGCATAACACCCTCCAGTTCCATCCACGTCGTTGCAAATGGCAAGATCTCATTCCTTTTGATGGCTGCATAATATTCCATTTACACCACTATATTAGATACTCATTTTATCCATTACCAGATTCTTTTAGCTCTGCCTTCAAGCTAGATCTCAAATCCAGTCATGCTACCCTAGTCTAAGGTATTTCCATCTCTTGCCTGAACTATAGTAATAGCCTTCTCCTTGGTTCTCTTGCTTCTGTTATTACCCTCCCCCAGTCAGTTCTCCACATAAGCCAAAACGATCTTAAAGAAATGTGAATCAGATCATGTTTTGCCTGTACTAGGAAACCATTCTGGTTTATAGTGTCAGCTAATCCACCCTCTAACTGGAATAATTTCAGCTTGAAAGTAGTAACTGTGCTTATCTTTTTCCAGGAGGAACAGCACAGCATGCTGGGCTCTGGATTTAAAGCTGAGCGTTTACGAGTCAATTTGAGATTAGTCATAAACCGTCTTAAACTGTTGGAGAAAAAAAAAAGTGAGTAATGCATGATTGCCATATATTTTCTTTCCCCAAATCACTGGGGTTTCCCATCCTATTAACTGGCTCTGTGAGGCTAGTACTATGAAGTCTTAGGGATCCCATATCCTTTAAGCTTTAGATAATGACTGCTGCTCTTTGTGACAAGTTAGATTGAATCATTCTGTTGCAGGGAATTGGTAACATGACTCCTGAGGTAAATTTGTGGCTATAACAGCAATATTCTCACCTAGACAAAGGACCACATTCTGGAGACTAGATGAGTTGGGACTAGATTTGGTAAAAGACAAGTGAGCTAGGATGTACTAGAAACACCCACTTCGCTCTTGGGGTAGAAGTCTTCTGCAGGCCACGGCCCAGTGTACTGCTGCTGTGTGAGTGGATGGGATTTGTGCCTTAGCGGAACTGGCCCAGAAAGCACGGAAAGAGATTGCTGACTATCTGGCTGCTGGGAAGGATGAACGAGCTCGGATCCGAGTGGAGCATATTATCCGAGAAGACTACCTTGTGGAGGCCATGGAAATTCTGGAGCTGTATTGTGATCTGCTGCTGGCTCGGTTTGGTCTCATCCAGTCTATGAAGTAAGATAATTTTGTCTTTTTTTTAAAAAACTTAATTTAGGTATGATTTATAGAAAAAACTGTACATATGTATACGGTTTGATGAGTTTGGACATACGCATACGCCTGCATACCATCACCACAATCAAGGTAATAAACATTTGTTACCTCCAGAAATTTCCTTGTGTCCCCCCACACACCCGTTTTTGATAAAAACACATGACATCAGATCCCTACCCTTTTAACATTTTTTTTTAAGATTTTATTTATTTATTTGACAGAGAGCACAAGCAGGGGGCGCGGCAGGCAGAGGCAGAGGGAGAAGCAGGCCTCCTGCGGAGCAGGGAGCCCGATGCGGGACTCGATCCCAGGACCCTGGGGTCATGACCTGAGCGGAAGGCACTTAACCGACTGAGCCACCCAGGCGTCCCCCTCTTAACATTTTTTAAAAAGATCGATTTCTTTTAGAGAGAGCATGCATGCAGCAGGCGGGAGGGGGTGGAGGAGCAGAGGACAGAATCCCAAGCGGACGCCGCGCTAAGTGTGGAGCCTGACAGGGGCCTCGATCTCACAACTGTGAGATCATGACCTGAGCCGAAACCACCCAGGCGCCCCTCTACTCTCTTAACATTTTTAAGTGCCTGGTATAGTATTGTTAACTATATGCAGTGTTGTTCAGTAGGTTTCTAGAACTTCGTCTTGTATAATGTAATGAAATGAAATAAGATATTTTGAAGACCTAGATCAAATCACCTTTTTGAGAAAGGGATTTTGAGAAGGGAGTAATACTGGTCTCCTACTGCATGTGGGGGGCTAGAACCAGGGGACTACTTCACATACCCAAGGACCTTTTTCCTAATACCTTTGCTGGAAGGCCTGATCTCCTTGTAAACAACTGAAAAAATAAGGACTCTGAAATCAAAAGGTCTAAGTTTGAGTCTTGGCTCTACCCTTTCCTGACTTTGTGACCTTGGGCTTGTCAGAGATTCCCGAGAAGTAAAATAGGATGATGAAAATGGCTAGAAGCCCTAGAATTATTTGTGAGAATCCAGTGAGATTTGTGCAAGAACTTTAGAGGCTATCAAACATACGATACAAATTCTGGGGTTTTGTTGGTTTGTTTTAAAGGAATTTTTTCTTTTTTTTTTATAAGATTTTATTTAGGCATGCCTGGGTGTCTCAGTCGGTTAAGTGTCTGCCTTCAGCTCAGGTCATGATCCCAGGGTCCTGGGATTGAGTCCGATATCAGGCTCCCTGCTCAGCGGGGAGTCTGTTTCTCCCTCTGCCTCTCCCCACTGGCTTGTGCTCTCTCTGGCTTACTCTCTCAAATAAATAAATAAAATCTTTAAAGAAAATTTTATTTGTTTATTTGAGAGAGAGAGTGCGAGCAGGGGAGGAGCAGAGGGAGAGGGAGAAGCAGACTCCCCACTGAGCAGGGAGCCCAATAGGGAGCTTAATCCTCGAACTCCGGGATCATGACCTGAGCCACCCAGGTGCCCCTGTTTTCTTTTCTTTTTTTTTTTTAATTTTATTTATTTATTTCAGAGAGAGAGAATGAGAGATAGAAAGCACGAGAGGGAAGAGGGTCAGAGGGAGAAGCAGACTCCTCACCGAGCAGGGAGCCCGATGTGGGACTCGATCCCGGGACTCCAGGATCATGACCCGAGCCGAAGGCAGTCGCTTAACCAACTGAGCCACCCAGGCGCCCGCCCCCTTTAAAGAATATTAATTTTATTAATTTTTTTCCTTAATTAGGGAACTAGATTCTGGTCTGGCTGAATCTGTGTCTACACTGATATGGGCTGCTCCTCGGCTCCAGTCAGAAGTGGCTGAGTTGAAAATAGTGAGTACAATGAGTTTCAGTGATGTCTGAGGTTTGTCATATTTTTAGGTTGGTTAACAAAATTCACTTCTGCTAATTTGACCAGATATTCTGTACCCTTTTCATGGTGTCTTTGAAACAGGCTTTTATAAATTTGTCTCTGCCTCCTTTTCAGGCCTTATATAATGCAACAGAACAGTGTTGTCAAACTTAATTTTTTTTAAGGAGCAAAGTTTTGTGTTTCTCCGGTTTTGTCTTATTTTTATTGTAATGTTACTTAAGTATATTCAAATAGAAAAGTTCTTAAACAACTGTAAACCAGTAAAGTTAAAATAACATTAACTGTAGGTGACAGATGTTTTGCTTCATTCGTTAATTCCACAAATATTCATCGGGTATATGTTACAAGTTAGGTGGGCATTGAGGGTACAGTAGTGAGCAAAATATGACACCAACCCTACTCTTGTAGGTTTAAAATCTAGCAGAAGAGATAGACGTTAAAAACTTCCCCGTGACAACATGGATATGGCACTGACTGCTAGGATACAAATTCACTTGAGTTGTTCTCTCCTATTTTCTGCATCGTTGCCTTTTTTGTTTTATTCTCTAGATTGTCTCAGTCATCTCCTGACCCGTCTTTTGAGATTTCCTGGTCTTCTGTATGTTTTTATTTTTATTTTTTTAAAGATTTTATTTATTTATTTGACAGAGAGAGACACAGCGAGAGAGGGAACACAAGCAGGGGGAGTGGGAGAGGGAGAAGCAGGCTTCCCGCGGAGCAGGGAGCCCGATGTGGGGCTCGATCCCAGGACCCTGGGATCATGACCTGAGCTGAAGGCAGACGCTTAACGACTGAGCCACCCAGGCGCCCCTGTATGTTTTTATTTTTAAGAGCTCTTTTTAATTCTCTATTTGAATACTTACTTCATAGTCTGTTGCTTTTGTTTCATAGCTATAATGTCTTTTAACTGAGAATATTAGTTTCTTAATAACTTTTCTTGTTCTATTTCTTATTTTTAGACTATTTTGTGGTAGAGGCTTTTCACAGAAGTTTGGTGACCCTTGATTGTTAGTTTATATTTGAAAGTGAGGCATTTAAAAAGCGGTTTGGAACCTCTTGCGTGCCTAGGTGGGGCTTATTGCCAGATGCCTTCACTGTTGAATATCTAAGCCCTTTCTTAAGGGAACTCCAGAGTATCAGGAACTAGTTTTCTTCCTCAGTATGGTCATTTCCTTCAGAGAGGAATCCTCTTTTTTACCTCGAGGTTATAAGCTGGCAGAATTTCTGAGACCCAGAGGAGAAGGAAGCCAAAGGTCTTATTCTTCTCTTTTAGAAGACTTAAACTTAATTTTTCTACTGTCAGTATGTGTCTCTGCTCTCTGCTATGCTTGGAGTTCAGAATCCCTTTAGTCTAACCTCCCCAGAGAGTAAGCCTCCTGTATTCTGACCTGGTAGGGCTGGGAGTCAGAGTTTTGTGAGTAGAGGAATGGTGGGAGAGTAGAGGCAACTGCTCCTGCTTTTAGCTCACGACCCCGAGATCAAGAGTCCCATACTCTACCGACCGAGCCAGCGAGGTGCCCCAGAGGCAGCTGCTGCTTATACAGACTTTTAACCTCAGTCTCTCTCTCTCTTTTTTTTTTTTTTTTAAGTTTTATTTAAGTAATCTCTACACGCAGTGTGGGGCTTAGAACTCATGACCCTAATCGAGAGTTGCATGCTCCTCCAGCTGAGCCAGCCAGGCGTCCCAACCTCAGTTTCGTTGTAACCTCTCCTGTATTCTTCCTTTATATAAAAATTTATTCAAGATGAAACACATTTACATGATTTTAAACAGGTGAACTCATAAAGGAACTAGAAGAAAACTAGGCAGATTTAAAAAAATGATCTCATAGTGGAAAAGTCCATAAAACCCAAAAGCCGTAAACAAAGAGCAATAAATTTAAGAAAAATAAAAAATTCCTGCATAATATAAAGCAACCAAGAACTGTTACTTAAAAGACAAATGACAACCTTAAGTTGTAAGTACCGGGTCTGCATACTGAACAATGAGTGCCTCCTTACTGAACTCTCAGATGTTGGGGCCACTGGTTCAATGCCAGGCATATCCTGCCTGGATTTTTTGAATCTTCTTCCTACACATACTTTGGTTTCTTTCAGTCTGTTCAGCTTAGGGTTTTGTTCAAAACACAGATCTGATTCTGTCACTACCCCTCGCTTTAAAGCCCTTTAGTAGCTGCTGTTTTTATGATGGAAATAATTCCTAATGTGGCCTACATAGTTCTGCATTGTGTGGCCCCCTTGTGCCTTTCTTTCTTCATTTCCTATTAACACTCCTCCGTGGGGCTCAACACTGACTTAATTTCAGCTTGAGGATTGACCCTGCTTTTCTGACCTTGAGGACTTTGCACATGCTGTTTTCTTTTTCTAGAATGTTCTTCCCTCCCTCTTAACTCCTAGTCATCCTTTACATCTCAGTGAAGCATCCCTTTCTTCAGGAAGCCTTACCTTTTCTTTTTTTTTTTTTTTTTTTTTGAGATTTTATTTATTTGAGAGAGAGAGTGAACAAGTGGGAGGGGCAGAGGGAAGGGAGAGGAAGAGAGGATCTCGAACAGACTCCGTGCTGAGCAAGGAGCCCAGTTCGGGGCTTATTCCCACAACCCTGAGATCATGACCTGAGCTGAACCAAGAGTTGGATGCTTAAGCGACTGAGCCACCCAGGTGCCCCCTTACATGACTTTTTTGATCAGATCTAATTTCACTGTTGTAAGTTATTGACGGTGTGTATACTTTCACTTGGTGATACTTAACTGTGGCTACGTTTGTATCTTTATATGTGTGACTAATGACTGGTTTCCTCAGAGATTCTAAGACTTTAAGAGTAGGAACAATGTCTGTTTTTGTTTATTGTATTTATAGCATATGTCATAATGTCTATGGGAGAGTTTGGCATATAGTTACAGCTGAATGGATGGATGGATAAACAAATATGAACTAACATGTATCCCTTAAAAGTTTTACAGGCCCTGGTTTTTTTTGAAATCCTATAATAGAAGCATGGTTACTGTTGATAGGAAGCTTGAAGCAGTCTGTAAGAATGGTTTCCACTTTCATTTACTGTTCTTTTTTCTCTATAGGTTGCTGATCAGCTCTGTGCCAAGTATAGCAAGGAATACGGCAAGTTATGTAGGACCAACCAGATTGGAACTGTGAATGACAGGGTAATGAACATACTTGTTAACATGATGCAGTAGACTGGGTGTGGGCATATTATCTTGGCTTGATTGTAGTGGGTCCTACTGTATGGCTGAGATAATCTAGGGTTGCATATCTTATAGTGAGGATGAGAAGGCTCTCTGGCTGGCGGTGCAGTCAACTCCTTACCGCTTCTCTAAACCTCTGATTGTGAGGCCCCCAGTCCTTTGTGCCCCTTTTGATTTGTGCATGTAGAAGCGAGGTGATGAAGAGTGGGTGAATTCAGATGTGGAAGGCAGCATTATCAGTCTTACCAACACCTGGGTCATGTGTAACCAGAGACCATGAGAGGGGCATGGGTTTGTAATAATGCTTTGTGACTGAAAAAAAAATCATTTAACTGGTCAGAACCTCCTTTTTCCTCAATTTACCTGTAAAATAAGAGAAAGTTTAAACGAGAGGTTAGGCTGATTGGCATAGATTTTAAACCTAGGTCTTTTACTTACAGCTAATGCACAAACTCAGTGTGGAAGCCCCACCCAAAATCCTGGTGGAGAGATACCTGATTGAAATTGCTAAGAACTACAATGTGCCCTATGAGCCTGACTCTGTGGTTATGGTAAGTAGAGAGTCTTTTCAGAGTACAGAGGGGGAAATGAGTCTCTGGATATCATTTTCTTAAAAAAATAATCCTATCCTTTGCGCTAATGTTTGTGTGTGGGAGATTAAACCTTTGTCCAATTAGTGTCTTTTTGGGTAATGATAAATATGCCTGCATTTCTCAAAGAGTATTTAAGAATCAGATGAGATGAATGACTGGAAGGCACTTAGAAAAGGTACAAACCTTGATGCAAATACAGAATGGCAGTATTGCTGCTTTTCGATGAAGTTCAAGGAATTGAACCAAGAAATGCCCCAAGATCCCGAATGGATTCTAAAACTATTTATCAGGTGCCTGCCGTGTGTTAGTGCACTGAGAGCTGAGAATACAGAGAATAAAAACAAGTTCCCTGTCCTGAAGGGTTTACAGTGTAAGGGGGGCAAATATGCAAATAGTAATCATTCAGTTAAGGTCAGTGGGGTGTAGTGGGTTCTTTGCTGTGCTACTCAGACAGCACTCCCCCATCCCAGATAGACACACTTAAGGATAAAAGCATTTATTTCCCCAGCTCTTGAGAATACTGATGACTGGTGGCTCATACACTCTAGCAGTAGCCCTCAGAAGAAAGCTGCTTCATCCGAAGTCTTTTCTGCAGGACAGCCTATATTCAGTAACTGGGTTTTAAAGACTGTGTCCCAGTTAGGGGTACGTGTTGCAGGCCCATCCCAGCTCAGAGCTCCTTAAGGAACCGACTGAGCAGTTGTTGTGACTGTACGGCAGCCTAGCCCGGCTTCCTTCACTTCCCCACAGGTCTTTATCCCAAGGGACCACGCCAGTAACTTCCTCCACACTGGTCTCCATCTCAGAGTCTGCTTCTGGGGGAACCTGGCCTGCAATGTGGGTTAATGATACGGGTTTCTCTCTTCTTCTCAGGCAGAAGCTCCTCCTGGGGTAGAGACAGATCTTATTGATGTTGGATTCACAGATGATGTGAAGAAAGGGGGTCCTGGAAGAGGAGGAGGGGGTGGCTTCGCAACACCAGTTGGTGGACCTGATGGAACAGTGCCTATGCCCATGCCCATGCCCATGCCCTCTCCCAGTACTCCTTTCTCCTACCCACTTCCAAAGGGACCAGTAAGTATACATAGAAGTGTGGGTGTAAACTGTAGAAATGTCACAGAAGATGACACATTGGATGTATGAATACACAGGAGTTGTAGGTTGTCAAAAATATTCCTCAGTAAGAACATTTGGTATTAGTGATCATATTGTGGAAAAAATACTGGGATTTGGAGAAAGTCTTTTGTTAATGATGTGGGAAAATACAGAGAGATGGTGCTAGAGAAACTTTTTCTTATAGCTTTACTGAATACCTTTGGGACCTGTTGAAGGCATAAGTAGTTCTTTCCAAAAATGAGTACTACTTATTACCAGGTAGAAAAACCTCTTTTGTAGACAGAAAGATGGTCATTACTAGTAATAGGAAAGTCTGATTAGAATCTTCCCCTGTAGACATCGAAGCAGTTGATTAGTAATTTGAAGACTAGCCTTTGGCTTTAGATCTTTAAAAATCTGGAATCCTTCTGGGCTTTTTTTTCTTTTGGAGCTCTTGAATATATATACATACTGAATATATATCTTGAATATTCACATTGAATACGTGTAGGTATTGCTCCCTTACCATATACAAACCTCAGAAACCGCAAAATGGGGCCATGTCTCTGATGTTGCCTTTCTCCTCTTGCAGTCAGATTTCAATGGATTGCCAGTGGGGACTTATCAGGCTTTTCCCAATATTCATCCACCTCAGATACCAGCAACTCCCCCATCGTATGAATCTGTAAGTGCTTGAGCCTCTTTTGTAAGCAGCAGGAGAGAGAATCCCATGAAGAGAGAGCAAAATAATGGCCACAGGGAAGGCAAAGTTTTGATCAATTCCTAGTTACCAGCATTGCTCTTGCTTTGGATTTTTGTGTTGCTTTAACATTACCCTGGAGATGGGGTGGTGGGGCGGCATCATTGGTGGCACTGCTTTGTTTGCAATTAAGCCAGGAATCAGGAAGGAGCTGCAGATCTCCTGGAAAGTTCTAGTAGGGCACTTACCTAGTCTGTTGGGTTTTTTTTTTTTTTTTTTGGTTGGTTTTGTTTTTTTAGGCAGAGAACTGTATTGAGCTGGTGTAGTCTTACTGCTAGAATATCAATTAAAATACCAGTTTTACAAATTCAAGACTGTGTAAAAGAATAGTGGCCAGATTTTTATCTTAAACAGAAGTGTCCAGTTAGTAAACTTCAGCCTATAGCATTAATTTTACATTTTCATCTTATAGATGAAACTTGTTATAAATATGGTAACCATGCCTTGAATTGAATTGTTGGCGATTGCATAGCTTTGATTCAGAATTAGAGGGCTCCTTTTCTGTCAGCCTTGTTTCCTCAGCTGGTATGTGCCTTTTGAGACCTATTTCCATCTGATACATTACAGTTGGTAGGGCATTTGCTGCAAGATCGCCCTGTTCCTGAACTTGCTTAGTGTTCTTTCCTTTGGTTTTTTCTTGGGCCTGGGTTTTCTTATGTTTCGGTTTTGCATGCATTGAAGCACTGCCCACAACTGTTTCTAGGAATGAGGTAGAAGATCTTCAGTATTAGAGGACTTGGTTCTTGGAGATGAATTCAGTGGGTTAGTGCTTTCTCTCTGCCCAGAAGGTGAAGGTATCAAAGAGAGGTGTTATGGTGTGGTAAGAATTTTCTTTTTCTCTGCTTGGTGGTTAAGAGTTTAACATGTTATCTGATTGGAAGATCAGGAAGGAGTATAGGGGGTGGAGGGGCAGTTTCTTTGGAGGAGGTTCTGTTGCTTCTGCTGAGCAGCTTAGCTTTTGGAAAAACAGGGGCTTATACCAATATCAGTACTTTGTCATTGCTTTCTCCCCTAGTAACTATCTTTGTGTTTCAGGTTGATGACATTAATGCTGATAAGAATGTCTCTTCTGCACAGATTGTTGGTGAGTGTGAATCAGAAACCCTCAGTGCTTGAACCCTTTGCTGTTTTCTCATTACTGCTCCTGCCTCAGAGATAGTGTTCATGTTTGTGGCATTTTACCCACATGCCCTGTCTTCTTCCAGAGTGTAGTAGGATGAAAATAGAACCTAATATTTCCCTTGTCCAAAAAGAAAATATCTTTCTTGGTTGCAGAGAATCTCCCAAGTTCCTTGTTTCTGTTAATGGTATCATTATCTTTCAACCTCTTTATGTTCCTGCTGCTTCAACTTTCATTGTACTTAGAAATACCAAAAGAGATCGATCTAGCTATCTTTCTGTCTAGATATAGATAACATGTTTTTAAACTTGAGCATTAAGGGGGTAGTAGACAAAACCGTAAATGAATAGCTCAATGACTTTTCATAAAGCAAGCATGCTCGTGTGATCATCTCAGAAAATAAAACACTACCAGTACTATGGAAACCGGAGGGAGGGGGATACTTTTTAAATTGGAGATAGTTGTTTTATGGAGGTATATTTTGATGATACTTCAGTAAAACTGGTGTAGAACATTTCCATCACCCCAGAAAGTTCTCTTATGTTCCAGTCAAGTCCATCAATCCAGTCTCTACTTTGGAGGCACTGTTCTTGTCAAGATTTTATTTTTAGAGAAAGAGAACATGAGCGTGCATGGGGTAGGGGGAAGGAAAGAATCTCAATCAGACTTCTCTCTCAGCATGGAGCCTGACATGGGGCTCAGTCCCATGACCAGAGCTGAAACCAAGAGTCGGATGCTCAACTGACTGAGCCCCTCAGGCACCCCACTATTCTTACTTTCTAAAAGTCGTTGAGGTTTGCCTTTTCTAGAACTTAGATACAAATGGAAACGTACAGTAGGTAGAGAGGGGGATGATTTTAACTTGTAAAATACAAAATGGAAGACTGGTAATTCAGATCCTATTACATCAAATAATAAGGACATTAACATTCCTCATAAAAAAAATTTTTCCCCCTGAGCCTTAAAGAGGGGCTTATTCCAACAGAATTTTAGTACCACCCCTTGGACTTTGTTGTGATGGGAGCAGACCTTTGTGAAAGGGGACAGTCTGAGTGAATGCTCTGTGTACCTAGTCCCAGGTACCACACTTTGAATTTCCCTTAATCTTTTTTCTCACCATAGTAAAGTAAAACAGGACTCAGTTGTTTAAGGAAACATAGATTTAATTGTCCTGAAAATTACTGACTTTTAGAATTTTTTTAAAACCAGTGTTTTCTCCCGTATTTTTCTGTCAAAGGGGATTGTGGGCTTTAAGGATCTGAGCCACTTTTCTCTGGTGTTTGTAACACTAGGTCCTGGGCCCAAGCCGGAAGCCTCTGCAAAGCCCCCTTCCCGACCTGTGGATACCTACGACAACTTTGTACTACCGGAGTTGCCGTCTGTGCCAGACACACTACCAACTGCATCTGCTGGTGCCAACACCTCAGCATCTGAGGACATTGACTTTGATGATCTTTCCCGGAGATTTGAAGAGTTGAAAAAGAAAACCTAGTTCTCTTAAACCAGGCAACCTCCAGGCTCTGAGATTTGAGACTGAGCTTTTTCTCCTTGTAACAAAGAATCTCCATGAAACTCGTTTTCATCTCTTAACCATCACTGAGCACACTCTTCCTTTGGGCTCTCTTCCTGCTCTAAATTCTGCTGCTTTCCAGTTCTCTGTTGCTCCTAAGAGACTAATTATTAGAGACTGTGAGGCCAGAGCAGCTGACCCTGGGCAGCTGAGCTTGTCCATCTCCTTTGAGTGTGAACCCAGGTTCTCCCATCACCTGTTTTTCTGTCCCTCCACGGGGGAGTGGGAAGGTGAAAGCATGAGACCTGCCAAAGATGGCTGGACATGGAGAATACTTCTTGAAGTCTTTCAGCCCTGTGCTGAAGTTCTAGACTTAGGAAAAAACCCCTCTGTCCAGAGGGATTTGTAGTGAGCAAGAATCAAAGCAAAGGTGTGCTATGAATGGGAGAGACTGACTCTGGAAGCCCCTTTAACAGTTCTTGGAAGTTCGGTGCTCTCATTGGCTTATACACTACTTCTTGCTGCAGGGCACTATTCTACCTGGATCCAGTTGCAAAGTGTATTGGGAAAGTTGAAGGCTTCTCTTGGATCTACTGGATTCTCAGGGAGCCCTCCGTGGCCTTTTGCTTTGAGTGCTGTGTTCCCCTTTTACCAGAGGGCAGCACTGCACAAATTCCTGTTTTCCCCCATGGCATGTTCTGTTGGATTGCATTTACTGGCGAATGAAGGACAGGTCACATACTGGGCAGAAGTCACCATTCAAGGCTAGGGTGGGCTTCCAGTTGCCTTAATAGAAGTACTCAAGTCTCTTGGGTAGTGAGCTGGAATGCCTACAGGGGAAGTGGAGTTCCTGTTTTCATTTGAAAACTTTATGATTAAGAGAACCTTTAAAAACTGATTTCATATAAGTTTTTGGTGCCCATAAAAAACGTGGCTGCAGTTGTTGATTACTTTCCTAGGTGGATGAGACTCTTACTATTGTAACTTAACGGTGTTCCTTTACCCCCTAGCTGAGGCCATCCTTCCCCAGAGGGATGGCTTTGGGATCAGAAGATAGGACTCTGGCTTCTGTAGTGTAAATGTACACACCTGTTTCAAGCAACTTTAATGTTTTTGATTGGTTTGTATCTCATAGCTCAGTAGCTGATAATAAAGTTAAGAATTCTGTGCCCTGCTTTTTCCACTGGTTTGGTCAAGTGATGAGGTGCAAATTTGGATTTTAGTGGAGTGTTTTAAGCAGATGACCCATGCTAGGCACAAGCCAGACCTTACCTTTGGTTCCTTGGGTAATGTGGATGCCTGGAGCAGTGAGGAGTCCATTTCTATTTCTGTATTTAAGCCCAGATAGCCTTTGGGAGTTTGCTTCGTTAGTCCTCTGGGACAGGGCTCCCCATTAGCCAAACCTCATGCTTATATCTTTGATTTTAATAAGCTGCAGTGAGCTCACCTCTGACTCATACATATTTCCCACAGCCATGCTGAATATATTGGTGGTCAGTGTTTCTTGCTGTTTGGCAGCACAGCTGGTTTATCCTGTATCACTCGTGTAGTGTTAACCCTTTCTTGACAGTGATCCATAAACCTAAGAACTTGCTGCCACGGGGATTTTGATTCCTCAGTGATTTACAGATTAATGGTGTATTATAAACTGGTAATTTTCTAAACTATACCATGCAAAGATAATCTTTTAATTTTTAAAAGTATTTGAGAGAGAAAGCACGAACAGAGGGAGAAGCAGGGAGCCCAACATGGGGCTTGATCCCAGGACCATCGGGATCATGACTTGAGACACTTAACCGACTGAATCACCCAGGTGCCCCAAAATAGCTCATCTTTTAAAGCCTTAGTGTTAACTGCCCACTGCTATCATGGCTGTTTGCTCACGTGTTCTGGTGTCACTGGATTCCTAGCAAACTGGAGAGCTTCTGTAGCACCGTATCATATGTCAGTGCATCTTCTTTCAGAGTCTATTCAAAGACAAAAGGAGAAAAGTGAGGGAATCAAAGTTGATGCTAATGGTGGAGGGGAAGAGTGCCAAAAGATTAAAAAACTCGTATAAATAGCAAACACTGTTTCCTTTAATGATTTTCTGTCAGGCATTGGAGTGTTTCTGCTACTTAATAGTTGAGGACCAGCTATTTATAGGACTGCACATGTTCTCTAAACTGGGTGTCCTATGAAAATGGTTGCCAGAGCTATGGAGACTAATAAAGGGACTATGCTGCTACTGTGCATTATGTCAGTCTGTAATCTTAAGAGCAGCAACAGTTGAGTTTTTCTAATGATAAAATGATGACAAGTTTATATTTCACTTACTGAGTCGGAGTTACCTACCTTAAGGCACATTCTTTCTTTACCAAAGTACATGAGAATGATGGAAACAAAAAGGTTAATGATCACAAGTACCATCAAGAAGACCCTGGTGAGAATCAGAAAGGATCCCAGGATTGGGTCTAAATCAATAACCTGGAAAGAGACAAATATTTTGATTTTTAAACACTGACAGTTTAACTTCTACTTTAAAAATGTAAGTTATATGCTAATGTTTGGGATATACTCATAAAATATTTGATGGAAATTAGGAGAGAAGCAAAATTATTAAAAAGGAAAATGCTTTTGAGTGGACAGAAGAACATGAATGACAGGCTTGATGGGTATAAAAATAATTGACTTCAGGCCTTTCACAAGAAAACAGGTAAGTCACAGTGACACTAAATGACTAAAATGATTTAAAGCCCATGTGAGTTTTGGCAGTTATGGAAAATATATATAAGCACAGAAGCTTGAAAGAGTAGCAAAAGCATATGGAAAGAATAAACAGAAATCATAAAAATTGTTTCTGCCATTCTAAGAACCTCTATAAACCGGAACATTCCAATAAAATTTAACAAGTTAACCATAAAAAACTGGCTTTTACTTTGTTTTTTGGGGTTTTTTTTGGTGTTATCTTTTCAAAGTAAGTACTGAGTTTTGCCATTCTTTACTTTTCAGCATGAAGAGATCATTCTCAAATACAGGACCTAGAGTGGTTTCTGTAAGAGTATTTTAGTTTACATGTTCATTTTAACAAATGTTTATTTTCCCTTGGTATTGGCTCATTCACTGTTGCCATTAGGGTACTGTTAAAAAACAAAACAAAAACCAACAACAGCCCAACAACTTAGAGGAGGAATGCTTAAAATAAATATCACTATGATGGAAATCTGTATGACCAGATACTGCTTAATTATAGCTACTCTAGGTCAACCAAGTAATTTGCACCATCTTTGTGATGTAAAATTTTTCTCAAGTATACTCCATTTTCCTTTCACATTGTATTATTAGAGGTTTTTTTTTTTTTAAAGTCAAAAAGGAGGTATTAGCAAAAGCTCATTGTTTTGTTACTTCCTTAAGTGTCTTAGTATATAAAGTGTTCCAAGGGTGAAGACTTCATTCCCTAATTGAACCTAGAACCATAACAAGTCTTTCTCAGATCTTAGGAAGGTGAGAACTTTCCATGTTAGAAACTATGTTAAGAAACTATGTAAACTTGCGCATTTTAATTACTAACATTTGAGTTCTAGATATTCAAAAGGTTAAACTTCATGAAAATCTTTACAATTTCACTAATTTGTAGTTTTTTCTGTCCTGATCAAATCTATATATGCTAGGGCCCCAAACCCTCATCTGGGTTTCCTATTTAATATAGAAGAGAGATTTGTGTGGGTAGTTCTTGGGGGAGAATAATAGCCTCTCTGAAATGAGCATTGATTAACTATGAACAGAAATACTGCAGTTCTTTCTGGTATTGTACCTCCCTAATTTTTTTTTAAAAGGCGCTTTCATCGGGCCACTGAGAAAGCAGCAGCAAATAATACTAATCTGGCCAGGTTATGAGAGCATAAATTCAGGCCCAGCATCCTGAAAATAAGATTAATAAGTGAGGCAGGCCCAGCATCCTGAAAATAAGATTAATAAGTGAGGAAGTTGGGACTAGGTGCTTGAAAAAGGGACACATTTCTGAAAGTAAGAGCCCCTCAAGTTGTATGCATAGATAGCACCAGTGTGCAGTGGTACAGAAGGAGCTGCTGTTGTAAGCAATTCTCGCCTTGCAAACAAAATAGAATCCTGCAGGGAGGCCAGGATGGGGGTTTTCACCTCCTCATGATGAGAGATTCCCATTAGGAGACCAACAGTCACTGCTGAGCTGAAGAAAGTCCGGTAGTGAGAGACGCTCCAGCCGAACAGCAGGTTAAACTGAAAAGGAGAAGGACTAATTAGAGGGGTAGAGAGCAGTAAGGCTGAAGTCACTTCTTTCCCTCCTGGCTAGATAAGGAGGCCAACACGGGACCAAAGGGGCTGGAAATCAAAGAAATGCCTTAGTGGCCGTTCAAATCACTATGGCTTAAAAAAAAATTCCTTTGTAATTACATAGCATTTTCCTATCAATTTATTTGATCTTCACATCACCCTGTGAGCTAAATTTGAGGAGATGAGACAGATGTCTGCATTTAAGTCATACTGCTGGCTAAGTGTGGAACTACAACTAAAAACCAGCTTTCTTATTCCACTGTTCTTTCCAAAACTCGTTGCCAACTTGAATTGATGGTTTTCCGTATATAGTGCTTTCTTGGGAAGCAATGTGATTCCAAGGCCACAGCATTTGGAAAAAGACACTGGGAATGAGGGCTTACAGCAATGGTATAGCCTGTGAGCAGGATCAGGATGACCAGCAAGAAGCCCACCACCTCATCCCAGGCTTTGCTGAGTGTTCTACCGATGACCTGCAGCCTGGGGTTATGGTGCAGCAGGTCCCACAGCTGAACAGTTGCGAACAGAACCAGGAAGGCCATGAGGTGAACGACTGCTGAGTTTACTTTTATTGCCTCATAGAAGCTGATGAACCTGTACCAAGGAAGGCCGACAGTTACTCAGCTGATGTATGCCATCCATTTCTCCAGTGCTTCCCCTGCTCAAGTATAGCAGCTCTGTGAGTCCTATTAGGTCAGATACTTGTTGATGCAAGAACTCTCCTTTCCAGTGTGGCCTCCAGTACTTGTGGATGTGAGAGCATTGGGCAGAGGCCATGTATTTGGTTGGGAGATCTTAAGAAACCCTGAAATACAACCCCAGCAGATTACTCAAAATTCATTCTGCAAATCAAGGCCAGCCTCCTCTGCTGCTCTGGTTTAAGTTAAATACCCAGTCTCAAAAGGAGAGGAGTTAGCCTAATGAGATGTGCCATTATGCTAGTCTGTTTTCTGTAGAACTCTGATCCTATATTCTCTGGGGGTAATTGATCTCATAGGTGTAACAGTGCTGCAAGTAGAAAGATGATTGATAGGGGTGCCTGGGTGGCTCGGTCAGTTAAGCATCTCTCTGCCTTTGGCTCGGGTCATGATCCCAAGGTCGTGGGATGGAGTCCCGCATCAGGCTCCTTGCTCAACACGGAGCCTGCTTCTCCCTCTGTCTGCCACTTACCCTGCTTGTGCTTGCTCTGACAAAATCTTTAAAAAAAAGAGATGACTGATAAACTAGAAGTGTTATGTGTGAAACATATTCATAATCTTGTGTTGCAGCAACTAGGTTACGTGGAAAGACTCCCATAGATAGAGCAAATTGGCACTTGGTCACAACTGCTTTAGTGTCTAAGACCTAGGCAGTGCCATACGGCAAGATGGACCTCAACTGTCAACATCATTTAAACTGCACACTGTCCCTGCATAAATGGCCCTCTGTAAGGATGACCTGGGATATTTTCTCATTACGCAGATCAGCAGTCCAGACTGTTGGCCACTGAAAAAGTAAAGTATCACGTGGCAATACTTGGTCTGGGAAATAGATGCTCTTTCCCATGGGAAAGACCACAGAAGGTGTCCAAGGGGGCACCAGAATGTCTCTTAAGTATGGATAAGCTAATGGATGGACATCCCTACCCAGAAAGCAACTCCCTCTGGTTTTAAAAAATGCACTGGGTTGTGGTTTTATTTAAAGGATGATCATTTGTCATGCCTCAGGCTTTATTCTTTGGCCAGGGTGCAAAATAGGACTAATTCCAGGTCCTTGCTATATGAAATTTAAATGCATTACCCTTGACAAGCACATACCTAAGTATTGTGAAGGCAGAAGAGATTTTCAATGTGATAAGCAGTATAAACAGTTTCTTGTTCATTATTTTCTCAGTTGTGGACATTCGTCTGAGTTCTCTATTTAACTCCGGTATTATACCAAATATAGGTCTGAGAGAGCAGTGGAAGAGGAAGGAGAGTTTGAAAGAATACTTGTGTAATCAGGAAACTTTAGACGTTGAACAGGAATAGACTGTGCTCCTCAGGCTCCTCCTTACCTGTCCCGGTCATAGTGGTATTGTGCCATGTTTTCCTTATGCAGAGAAGTAAGCTTCATGTCAAGACCCAGGAGGACAAAGCTAATGAGGATTATGCTTGTGTCCACAATGTTTCTTTTCCTAGTGAAGAACCTCCACCTCTGCTGTTTCAGCCGATGACCCTAAACAGAGACACCACAGTTACTACTGCTTGCCTTAAAGATTAGCCAGGTCTTTCCCTAATGAAGTATTTTAACACTGGCAAAACACTAAGCTGGGGATTTGTCAAATCTAACTTGGACACAATGGGTTATGGTCTTGGTTCTGCACGGTAGTCACTCAGCTGCTGCTTATAGAAAAGTAGCTTTTTCTAATACAACTTGCATTGGATATACTTATTATATTTCATTCTTGTTGCTGAAATTTAAAAAGGTTATCAAATTACTTATCAAGCCTGAAAATAAGATATGTTGTCTTAAAATATTCTTTTATTTAAAAGAAATTTTTTTTTTTAAAGATAGATTCTGTTTTGGTGCCATTACCTGTACTTTTGAGTACTTGCTCTGTTCATATTTTCAATTCTTGCTGTTATCTTATATAGGGATAATACAACTGTTAAAAAAATAGTATTCTTTTTACAGCCTTAATTCCTTAACTCTTGAAAACTGGAAGAGCTACTTGGTGGAAAGCCAGTCAGCCTTTAGCTGAATTAAGGCTCTGGAAAGGACCAAAGTCATAGCCATAATTCTTGTAATAGCTCATTGTGGACCTCCCCTGATAACACGGGAAATCTTGAGAATTTCTTACATCTAACGCTTTCAATTCACCTATACAAACGCATCGTAACAGACTAGTAGGTAATAGATGACTTGTGAGATGACAGACCAAGTAAAGTCCTTCTTTGATGCCTGAAGTGTCCAGCCTCAGCGAGGGGAAGAACACACCTGAGAACAACAAAGAACACCTAGAGTCAAGAGTCTTCAAAGCTTGTGCCCTCTTCCTTTCAAGCTCTCTGAAATCAGTGCAACTGTTCCTGGATTATCTCTCTGTCTCTTTTTTTAGATTTTATTTATTTGAGCGAGAGAGCGTGTGTGGGGGAAAGGGCAGAGGGAGAGGGAGAGAATCCCAGACTGTGCTGAACATGGAGCCTGATGTAGGGCACAATCTCACAACCCTGAGCCGAAAGCAAGAGCCAGACACTTAACCGACTGAGCCACCCAGCTGCCCCACCTGGATTATCTATTTCAAATGTTCCTGAATCTCTACACTTCACTTGGTATTTCCTCTAGAGCTGTTAAGGATATTAACTGAGATCACATATGTATAACAGAGAAATGCACTGTTTGCACCAGTCAGTAGAGGGGAAGGATATACTCGTGACCCCACCTCGAGGGTACTGTCTGTGACTTCACAGCTGTTAACAGGTGTTGCTCTTGCCAAGCGAGAACAGGTGCAGAGATGCACCAACTAATTGTACTCTTGCCATATGATGTTTGGTAGAGAACTGATGACTGCAATGTAAAGTGTGGGGAGAATGGAATTTAAAGCTATTTAAAATTAGTATGATGAAAGTGCTTTGAGCCATTTCAAATTTAGTTACTTTTTAAAACTAACGGAAGTAATATCCCATGAATACTAATAGTATCCTGGGGATACTCAGACATTTATATAAGGGTAGACTAAAAAGCCTCAGATTCTACCTAGAAGGACAGTGAGACTGTTGTTTATAAAATCATGAAAGGTCTTGTGAATATAAACTTTCATAAAGCCCCAAAATATTAGAATTAAGATGCGTCCCTTATAGTAGAAAGTACATTTAAGAATAAAAAATTCCTACTTCACATTTTTAGCTCTTAAGACTGGGACTTTCCCATGTTTACTTAAGCCCTCTTTTTTTGTTTTGTTTTTTGGTAGTTACTAACAATAAAAAACCCTATGAAGACCCACAGGAAGCATTCATGCTTCATTTAGAAAGAACTGTAGAAGTCTACTAAAGTATAAAACTGATCAGAAGTAACACCTGGTGGCAAATGGAAGGATACTAGTGGGCAAATTCTGGGGAAGAGAAGAAAGAGAAAGGAAGTTTGATTAGGAAAGACTTCCTGTTAAAGGTAGGAGAATTGAATATATGAGCTTCCCTCTAATCTCATAAAATGCCACTATAATGATAGTGACTGGATAAAAAAACAACCCAAAGAAAAAGATGACCAACAAACTACTGGAAGCTGGAAAACAGAAGAATGACATGGACAGCAGATTCAAGAAAGCTAAAGGCAAAGTCAGCTGTATAGAAAACCCAGAAGCAAACCCAGAAAAGCTGGAAAATTGCCGGCATTAGGTACTTCTGAAGGGAAGGTCAGATGAAACAAAATATAACTGATTGCAAGTCTGAACATAAACAGATCCCAGATAGCCTCCCTCACCATTCACGACTAGGTATTTGCTACTCATCCTGTCTTCCACCACACTAAAACTAAAGGTTTATTACCTATTGTTGAACTAGAGAGAATCTGAAGTCAGGGGCACCAGGTCTATTTGCAAGGAGTGGTCTACTGGGAAAGAATGCAGAGAAAGCTTTTATTTTGAGAGAGAAGAGAGAGCGTGTGCCTTGAGCAGGGGAGGGGCACTCATTAAAAAATGAATGACAAAAAGTGAAGAAAGCCTATGTCGATTCTGGACACTGTCAAAAGAACAAATATACCTATCATGGGAGTCCCAGAGGAGGAGGAGAGAGAAAGAGGCAGAAAACTTATATAAACAAACAGTTGAAAACTTCCCAAATTTTGTAACGATATAAACATCTAGGTACGTGAAGCTGAAAGGATCCCAAGTCAGATTAACCCAAAGAAGAGTACTCTGAGATACATTACTGTTTATCAAACTGTTAAAAGTCAAAGTCAGAGACTTCTGAGAAAAGCAAGGAAAAAAAAAAAAACTTTACACACACATAGAAAACCTCCCAGGCTATCAGATTTCTCAGCAGAAATCTTGCAGGCCAGAGGGAGTAGAATGATACATTCAGAGTGCTGAAAGAAAAAAAAACAACCCTGCCAACCCAAGCTACTATAACCAACAAAACTGTCCTTCAGAAGTGAAGGAGAGATAAAAAACATTCCCAGACAAACAAAAGATTAGGGAGTTCATCACCACCAGATCTGTCTTACAAGAGATGCTAGAGGGAATTCTTTTAGGTGAAAGGAAAGGATGCTATGTAACAACATGAAAGTATAAAAGTCACTGGTAAAGGTAAACAGATAGTCTAATTCAGAATTTGGTAATACTGTAATGGTGTGTAAGTCACTTTTATCTTTAGTATAAAAGTTAAAGACAATAGTGTTAAAAATAACTACCACTACAATATGTTAACGGATGACAGCATAAAAAGAAAGGCAGTGTGACATCAATTACATAAAGTTCAGGGAAAGAAGTAAAAGTGTAGAGGTTTTTTTTTGTTTTGTTTTGTTTTTTGTTTTTTTAGGTACAGGCAGTACAATCTTGTTTATTTTTATTTTTTTTTAAGTAATCTCTATGCCCCATGTGCTTGAACTCACAACCCTGAGATCAAGACTTGCATACTTCTGACTGAGCCAGTCAGGCACCTCAAAGTGCAGAGTTTTTGTATGTGATTAACAGTAAGCTGTTTTCAGCTTAAAACAGACTGTTACAAGATATTTTACATAAGCCTTATGAGAACACTAAAGCAAAATCTTTAATAAATGCAAAAAAGATGAAGGGAAGGGAATTAAAGCATACCACTACAAAAAGTAAATCACAAAGAAAGATAGCAAGAGAATAAAAGAGGAACAAAGGAACTGCAAAACAGAAAACAATAAAGTGCCAATAGTAAGTTCTTATCAATAATTAAATGTCAACAGATTAAATTCTTCAATAAAAAGACAGAATGAGTGGTAAAAATACAAGATCCAATAATATACTGCCTATAAGAGACCCACTTTAATTTTAAGTACACACACAGGCTGAAACTGAAGGCATGGAAAAAAAATATTCCATGCAAATGGCAACCAAAAAAGAGCAGAAGTAGCTCTAACTTTTAACAGATAAAATAGAATTTCAGTTAAACTCAGTCACAACAGACAAGGAAGGTCATCTGTGGTAAAATGATACAGGGCTCACTTCATAAAGAGGACAAAACAATTGTAATTATATATGCACTCAACATTGGAACACCTAAATATGTAAAGTAAATGTTACCTGATTGAAGAAATAGATAGCAATACAGTAATAGTAGGGGACTTCAATATCCTACTTTCAATAATGGATAGATTGTCTAGACAAAATCAATAAGGAAATGGCAGACTTGTTAACACTATGGGCCAGATGGAGCTAAAAGATATATACAAAACACTCCATTCAACCAGAATACGCATTCTTCTCAAGCGCACGTGGAACATTCTCCAGGATACGTCCTATGTTGGGCCACAAAGCAAGTCTTAAATTTAAGGAGACTCAAAGCATATATATCAGGTATCTTTTCTGACCACAATGGTGTGAAATTAGAAATCAGTAATGGGACACAAATTGGAAAATTCACAAACACATGGAAATTCAACACACTTCTGAACAACCAATGGGTTTAATTAGGAAATTAAAAAGTACCTTGAGACAAACAAAAAGAGAAGTAAAACGTCATACCAAACTTATGGGATGCAGTAAAAGCAGTTCTAAAGAGGGAATTTTATAGCAATAAACACCTATTTTATGAAAAAAGAAAGATCTCAAATAAAGGTCTTCAAGGAACTAGTAAAAGAAGAACAAACTAAGCCCAAAGTTAGCAGAGGGAAGGAAATAATAAAGATTAGAGCAGAAATAAATGAAATAAAGACTAAATAGAAAATACAAAAATGTTTTGAAAGATAAACAAAACTGATACACCTTTAGACTAAGCCAAGAAAAAGAGGACTCAAATAAAATTACTAATTAAAGAGTAGACATTAACACTGGTAACACAAAAACAAAGGATAAGAGACTACCATGAACAACTGTACACCAACAAACTAGACAACTTAGAAGAAATGGATAAATTCCTAGAAACACAAACTTATTAAGTCTAAATAATGACAAAATAGAAAATCTGAACAGACTAATAACAAGTATGGAAACTGTAATAAAAAACTTCCCAACAAAGATAAGACCAGGACCAGACAGCTTCATGGGTGGATTCTACAGAACATTTAAAGAAGAATTAATATCCATCCTCAAACTCTTCCAAATAATTAAAAAGAAGGAAACTGTTCAAAATTCATTTTATGAGGCCAACATTATCCTCATACCAAAACCTACAAGAAAAGAAAATCACAGGCCAATATCCCTGATGAGCACAAATGCAAAAATCCTCAAAAAAATGCTAACACATGAAGTTCGTAAGTATGTTTAAAAAGATCATAACACTGCCAAATGGGATTTATCCCTGACTTGCAAGGATGATTCAACATACACAATTCAATAAACATGATACACATTAGCAGAATAAAGGATTAAATTATATGATGATCTCAAAAGATACACAAAGAATGACAAAATTCAACATCCTTTCATGATAAAAACTGTCAACAAATTAGGCACAGAAGGAATGCTCCTTAACATAATAAAGACCATATATGTCAAGCTAACATCATAATTGTGAGAAGCTTAAAATCTTTTCCTCCAAGATCAGGAATAAGACAAGGGTACCTGCTCTGGCCACTTCTATTCAACATACTATTGGAAATCATAGCCAAAGAAATTAGGTAAGAAAAAGACGTAAAAGGAATCCAAATCAGAAAAGAGAAACTAAATTGTCTGTTTACAGATAACATGATCTTATATACAGAAAAGCATATAGACTCCACCAAAACAAAACAAAAAAGACAAACCCAGGAGAACCAATAAACGAGTTTAGTAAAGTTGCAGGATATAAAATCAGTACACAAAAATCAGCTGCATTTTGTTACACTGACCATGAACCACCTGAAAAAGAAAGTAAGAAAACAATCTCGGTTACAAGAGCATCAAAAAGAATAAAATACTTAGGAGTAGATTTAACTGAGAAAGCGAAAGATCTGTACAATGAAAACTGTAAGACACTGATGAAAGAAATGAAGACATGAATAACTGGAAAGATATCCCATGTTTATGGGTTGAAAAAATATTGTTAAAATGTCCATACCATCCAAAGTCATCTACAAATCCAGGGCAATCCCCATCAAAATTCAATGGCATTTTTTTTTTCCACAGAAATAGAAGAACAATCCTAAGATTTGCATGAACCCCATCCAATACGCCAAATGGACAAAGTAATCTTGAGAAAGAAAAAGCTGGAGGCATCACACTTCCTAATGTCAAACTATACTATGAAAGCTACAGTAATCAAAACTGTATGGTATTGGCATAAAAGCAGACACACAGAATGATGGAACTAAATACAGAGTCCAGAATTAACTCATGCATATACAGCCAACTAATCTATGACAAGGGTGCCAAGTAGATACAATAGGGAAAGACAGTCTCTTCAACAAATGGTGCTAGAAAAACTGGATACCTGTATGCAAAAGAATGAAACTGGACCCTTTCCTTATGAGACATACGACCATCAATTCCAGATGGATTACCAACTTAACTATAAGACCTGAAACTGTAAAACTCCTAGAAGAAAACAGGGGCAAAGCTCCTTGACGTTGGTCTTGGCAGTCCTTTGGAGAGGACATCAAAGGCAAAAATTAACCAAATGAGACTGCAACAACTAAAAACTTTCGGCACAGTGAAGGAAACCAACAAATTAAAAAGGCAAACTATTAAACAGGAGAAAATATTTGTAAATCATGCATCTAATAAGGGGTCAATATCCAAAATACATAAGGAACTCACACAACTGAATACCACACACATGAACCCAAATAACTGATTTAAAGATGGGCAAAGGACCTGAATATACATTTTTTTAAAGAAGAAAAATGGCCAACAGTATATGTAAAAATCACTAACCATTAGGGAAAAGCAAATCAAAACCACACCGCGGTATCACCTCACACCATTCCCTGGGATCATGACCTGAGCTGAAGGCAGACGCTGCACCAGCTGAGCCACCCAGGCGTCCCTCAAGCGATATGTACTGAGTGCACACATATACCGTGCCCTGCTCTAGGCGCCCGGAGCGTAGCGGATGAAAGAGCATCCTTGTCCACAGAGAGTGCACATTTGAGGAGGGAGAGAGATGGGCAATAACCACACATTATCCAGGTCACGACAGCACTATGAACAAAAATTAGGTAGGATGAGGGATAGAGAGTGGTGGAGAGCGAACAGTGCTATTCATTTATAAGGAAGGATTAGGGAAAAGTGTCTCTGAGGAGTGGCTTGTGAGAGACCACAATCAAGTTCAGAGATCAAGCGCCAGTGAGACAGCTGTCAGGGCACAGCACATGCCCGGGCCCATGAGGTGAGAATGTGCTTGGCGTGGAGGAAGGCACAGAAGCCTGTGTGGCTGAAGGGTTGTGGAGGGTCTGCAGTGGGGTGGTAGGAGTGAAGGTACCAGATGTAGCTAGGGGCTGGGCTGGGCAGTCCCCTGTAAGCTCTGGAAAGGGTCTGCGATTTTTTTTTTTTTTAAGATTTTATTTATTTATTTGACAGAGACAGACACAGTGAGAGAGGAACACAAGCAGGGGGAGTGGGAGAGGGAGAAGCAGGCTTCCCGCGGAGCAGGGAGCCCGATGCGGGGCTCGAGCCCAGGACCCTGGGATCATGACCTGAGCTGAAGGCAGACGCTTAACGACTGGGCCCCCCAGGCGCCCCAAGGGTCTGCGATTTCAAGTATGATGGGAATCTATGGGGAGGTTTTGAACAGGGGAAGAATACAGATTTATGTTTGAAAACAATAGGACAGGGAGGGTGGAATGAAGGCAAAGGCAGAGGCAAGTCTGCCCACCCCTGAGACGTGGGAGATGGTGCCTCCCTCTAGTCTCGACCTGCATTTCCTCACGAAGGCACTGGCAGAGCCGTTCATCTCTTCCATAGCTCTGGGGATAGTTTGAAAACACCAGTTTTTACTGCGCTTTGGGGGATATGGGTAGACTCAGACATTGCTCACGGGAGTGTTACTTGGTACAATAAGGAGAAGACTGGAAATACCTTTTAAAATTAAGAATGTATACACCCTTTAGCACATTCAAGATATTCATCTTGCAGATATATCTGCATGCTCTCTCTCTAAAGTAAATAAATAAATCTTAAAAAAAAATAGGGGCACCTAGTGGCTCAGTTGGTTAAGCGTCTGCCTTCGGCTCAGGTCATGATCCCGGGGTCCTGGGATCGAGCCCGGCATCGGGCTCCCTGCTCAGCGGGGAGTCTGCTTCTTCCTCTCCCTCTGCCCCTCCCCCTGCCCATGCTCTCTCTCAAATAAATAAATAAAATCTATAGAAAAAAATGAAAAACATAAAATTTTGAAAACAAAGATTTGGTAATAGTTGAAGAGATAAACCATGTTAGGGTCAATTTTTACTGCTTTTCACCTCAGGTCTACTTAATTCTATTTCTTTATCTATATCTATAGATTGCTGTCGTCCTTCCTTAGCATGTCCAATAACTCATGGACACTTTGTGTTTCTAGCAGATTAGCCAGGGCCCCAATTGCCCCCATTAATAATAATAGTGAACACTCACCCAGTGTATACTATGGGTCAGACATTGTTCTAAGATCCACTGAGTTTTTAATCTTCACATCAATCTTATAGGGCAGGTCCTGAGATTATCCTCATCATATAGATGGGGAAACAGAGGCACAACACGTTGTAATTTACCCAAGAACATACTGCTAATAGGTAGAGCACCAGGATCTGAACCAGGTCAGTCTGGCTTCCGAGTCTGTGCTTTTGGACACTATACTGCAGAGCCAAGAAGACTGACAGGACGACGAAGCCTATGGTGAGGGCACTGGCCTTAGCTACCCAGGGCTTGATTCACTTTTTCCTCAGTCAGTACTTTATTCAGCACAGAGTTACAGACTACAAAGAGAATGTGTGCTGAACCTAGAATCGTCACCATCCAACACTGAACTAGAAAGAATCAACACGCAGGGCACCTGGGTGGCTCAGCCTGACTCTTGATTTCAGTTCATGTCATGATCTCAGGTTGTGAGATCAAGCCCCTCAGCTGGGCCCTGGTTTGGGCTACATGCTCAGCGTGGAGTCTGCTGGAGCTTTATTCTCTCCTCTCCCTCTGCCCTTTCCCCCACTGGTACACTACTCTCTAAACAAATAAATATCTTAAAAAAAAAAAGAACCAACACACAATGCATAGGAGTTGCCATCTGTAAAAACTCTCCTAAATGCACCAAAAACACCTTTACTGAGATGAGCATGTCTTTTAGGTTTCTTTCCCCAGGAACCTAGGAGATGTTCTAAATCCCAAAAGGAAGCACCAATCCTGAGACAAATGAACGCAACAACTTTCAGAACACAGTTTACTTAAGATCTAAAGTTATGACAAAGTGCTGGTAACTGGTAGAAAATACTGACCAAGAAGCATCCAAGAAGCATGGGGCCTAGGACTGTGTCCATACCTCTGTAATCCCCATAAAGGTTAGGAAGGAGGGTGTGACTGGCCCACGGGTAGAAATGCTTCAGAAGTCTGATCTCTGAGAAACGGTGGGAGAAACTCTTCTGGGTAGCCTGATGGAGGTAAAACCCATTCGAGTTCTGTGCTGAGTAGACTGTAGTCATCAACAAGATAAGGAAGAAGATTTGTACTAGGACAGAAGATGAAAACAAATTAGTTGAGTGGTTAGCTTATGAATTTGCTACACCTTCTCCCTCATGGTTCCTAAGCCTTGGCAATTCCATATGGTTCAACCAAACAGCTGTAAACAGACGAGCCAATGTATTTGGCATGCAGTGGTACCCACAAACATTGATATATTCCTTCCCAGAATTATTCCGCTGCTAATCAGAAATTTTACTTGAAATAAGGTACACAAAATCCCACATGAAAATTGCTGTATTTTAGTTCTTATAAATGTACCCCACCCCCAACCTTTCTCTTTCTATGGACTATGTCCACAAGAAAGGGAAGGCCAATAAACACAGAATTGGTCTTCTTTGGCCCAGGAAATCCGTAACCCAAACACTGTATGTGCTGACCCAGTTCCCCTGCACTGAGAGGGCTGCCATTTAGAAAACATATTAATTTTTCCTCCAGCCTGGGACGTGTACAGAGCACGCTGTTATTATGCTCTGTGTGCAGAGGAAGGGACTGATTCACATGGACATCTCATGACTCCCGAATTCAGGTGTCTTCCCATTTACCACACTGCCTTGGAGTCCATATTTTTTTCAAGGTGAGTATTTTAAGATAGCTTTTCATCGTCCTATATTTTCACCTTCTTTTCACTCCCCCTTTGCTGGGAAATGTGCTGCAGGATGGACACATTACTGTTTGCTCTCCATACCCAAAATATCTCCTGTCAGCTTGAAAAGCTTCTTCTCTTTCAAGGTTCTTTCTGGGCGCTTAATTGGACTGTTGATAGCTGGAGCTTCATAGAGGGGGTTGTTCTTATCTCTTGAACCAGGTACTGGTGGACATTTTGCTGTCAAAAATTCAAATGTAGGCCAAAAAATGGTTATATTTCATTAAGCAGTTATTCATTAATGGTTGAGGAAACTCTACTGTGAGTACCTCCTATTAAATGCTATAAAAAAATAAAAAAGAACAAATCCACCTATGTGGCACTTCTCAAAAAGGACTTAAAAATTCCAATCCACTGGGGACTCATACTTTTTTTTTTTTTAAGATTTACTTATGTATTTGAGAAAGAGAGAGTGTGTGCATGGGCACATTGGGAGGGGGAGGGGCAGAGGGAGAGACAGAGAATCTTAACCAGGCTCTGCCCTGAGCGTGGAGCCCACTGAAGGGAGGCTGGATCCCAAGATCCTAAGATCACGCATGACCTGAGCCAAAACCAAGAGTGGGACACTCAAATGACGGCACCACCCGGGCACCCTGGGGACTGACACTGCTATAAAATTTAATAAAAACTGATTGCTAGAAAAATGAAGTAAAACAGGAGCATGTAAAATCCAAATCCCATTTTGAAAATTAGATACAATCTGTCTAAAATTGGTCCAATTGCTATAAAACTTTCTAAATGTTTGCTCTCGATTTCTGCATTTATCTTGGACTAGAAACGAACAGTTCTAGTCAGTGACCCACACGTTGGGAGTACTGTCCTACAGCGGTGTTTCTCAAATTTCAATGTGCAAAGGAATCACCTGGGAATTTTGTTCAAATGCAGATTCTGGGGTGAGGCCTAAGACTGCGCATTTCTGAAAATTCCAGATGTCAGAGCTGCTCATCTACAGACCACACCAGGAGACATAGCTAGAGACATGCAAACCAAGATGGAGAGAGAGAATTAGAACAGGACATAAAACTCGCCAGCATATATGTGCCTAGTGCTTGGGGAATCACCAAAGAGAAAATAAATCTCCTGAGGAAGTCATAGAGTGAAACCTGACATTTGTTTTGAAGGATGACTCAGATACAATTCTTCCGATGGACACAGACAAGAAAAAAAAAGTCCTTTGCTTTAAAAAAAAAAAAAAAAAGCCTTTTAGGCAGAGGGAACAGCGATTCAAGAGCATGGAAAACAGTTTGAAATTAGATTAATTTGTAAAGATCTTGTAAGGAATGGGTTGCCTACCCCATAGTCATGTGTCTACCACTCAGTTTAAGAAATAAGTGATTGTGGGGCGCCTGGGTGGCTCAGTCGTTAAGCGTCTGCCTTCGGCTCAGGTCATGATCCCCTAGGGTCCTGGGATCGAGCCCCGCATCGGGCTCCCTGCTCCGCGGGGAGCCTGCTTCTCCCTCTCCCACTCCCCCTGCTTGTGTTCCCTCTCTGGCTGTGTCTCTCTCTGTCAAATAAATAAAATCTTTAAAAAAAAAAAAAGAAAGAAGTGATTGCATTGGGCTCCCCGCTGGCTCAGTCAGAAGAGCACGTGACTCTTGATCTTGGGGTCATGAGTTTGAACCCCATGTTGGGTGTAGAGATTATTTAAAACAAAAATTAGGGTGGCTCAGTTGGTTAAGCATCCGACTTTGATTTTGGCTCAGGTCATATTCTCAGGGTTGTGAGATCGAGCCCTGCATTGGGCTCACCGCTGGGTGTGGAGCCTAATATTCTCTCTCTCTCCCTCTCCCTCTGCCTCTCCCCACCGCTCATGCTCTGTCTCTCTGTAAAATAAATAAATAAAGTGATTTCCACTTATAGAGTCTGTTCATCTGTGATGGTATCCCTTTCTTTCCTTCAGAGAGCTAATCTAATCCTGAATTTATCATTCCCATGCACTTCTTCATTAAAAAAAAAATACACACACACGTGTGTGTATTTACATATATATATATATGCTATTTCTCATGATTAAAGTATTAATTTTTTTGATTACCACTGTGTTTGTGTGGTTCATCTGCATGATAGGCACAGCTCCAGTCAGTTATTTAGAGGGTAGTTTCCCTCAGGCTTGGTGACTGTGAGGACTAAGAATTTAGGATTAAGAGAGTAGGGATGTTCTTTATTGAAATGAAAAAATATAGGGGCGCCTGGGTGGTGCAGTGGGTTAAGCGTCTGACTCCTGGTTTCAGCTCAGGTCGTGACTTTGGGGTCGTGAGATCAAGCCCCATGCCGGGCTCTGCACTTATTGCAGTCTGCTTTGGATTCACTCTCCCTCTCCATCCGCCCCTCCCGCTCTCTCTCTCAAATAAATAAATAAATCTTTTTTTAAAAATGAGAAAATACAGTGAAGAAGTGGGTTTGTGGGGCAGGCCACCCTGATTGGGGCATGTTTGATTTGACACATGTGCAGGTATCCAGATACCGACGGTGAGTGGTCGGAAACAGCCCCTGGGGCCCAGGAGCGAGAAAGACTCGGGAGGAATCTGGGACACGGACGAGAGGTGAAGCCCTGAGGCAGCATGAGGGGGTCTTGGGACGAAAGCCACGAGTGTTGGTGAGGCACTGGTTCACCTTGGGCGGCCGAGAGCGGGCAGCCCGCTAACCACACAAGGTCCCCGCGGGGATCAATGTGAGGCAGTGATAGCTAGGGGTCCACTGTTCCGGCATTTGCCCTTTGCAAAATCAGATGTTCGTAGTTAGAACTACTCGAATTACCCAAGAGTGCCAAGATCCTCCTTGTTTGTTGTTTCTTCTCTTTGGTAAGCCGCGGCATCCGGTTTGGCATCAGGGAGATGAACAGCATGGGGAAGATCGCCTGGACGGGAAGATCACAGGAGAAACTAAGAAGCAGGTATCACAGGACCCAAGGTGATGCCCTTATGTAAAGCTGAAGGTATGGTTAACACGCTTCCATTATTTGGCCCTCTCTATCATGGAAAACTGGGAATTAGGGAGTTTCATGATTGTTTTTGCATAATCGTAGGGACCTGGTTAATATAACGTTAATATTTGTATTTTGGCCTGTGGTCCTCAAGCTGCTTGCCTGGGAAAGCTGAAACTATTGAATGATTTGTGATGATCTGCGGACGTTACTTAAGAACAACCTGTCTTTGGACGGCCTCTGAAGAGCGGGACTGGAGAAGCTATACTTTTAAGTCTCAAGGATTAAGTCTCAGTTTTTGCTAAAATCTTAGAACTGAGTAAAACCTTAAGTATTGGTTACATGTGCAACAAGTTTCCCCCAGTCCTTTAATTTCCACGGAGGGGAAGAAAGAGCTCCAATCCTCAGGAGAATAAAGGACAAGGGTGCTATTTCCAGCCTGCTGCCGCACACCCCTTTTTGGAGGTAGCAATTCTGGGTGTCTGCTCTGGAGACCTAAGGCCGCCCTCTGGTGGACAGTCCCTGGATTAGACTTGGGGGAAAAAGCGGCAATCTGGTTGGCTGGGGTGGAACCAAATTCAACACTGTAGCGATACCAGTAACTAATCTAATACCTGGCTTCCATCTCTTCTCTTCCTCTTTTTATATTTTTTCCCCAACACTCCACTTCTACTTTTTTTTTTTAAACAAGTGATATACAATTATAAAAATTTGGAAAAAAATAGAGATTTTTAAGAAAACTTTAAAATTTGGAATATATCCTTCAATCACTTTGTCTTAATATATCCAGACTAGCTTTCCACATCACTACAGTATTTTTAACATTTTTAATGGTTGCTTGGCATTCCATTATATGGATATGGCTGTCTCATAAATTAAGCAGTGTCCTATTTTTGGATATTTACATTGTCTTTTTTTTTTTTAATAAAGTACTCTGAATTTTCTCAGGATAGGTTCTTAGAAGTGAAGCTTATTTACTAAAGGGATGCAGAATTTGAAGATGAAGATGCAGTTTTTATTTTTATTTATTAAAATTTTATTTATTTAGGGGCACCTGGTGGCTCAGTCGGTTAAGTGGCTGCCTTTGGCTCAGGTCATGATCCCAGGGTCCTGGGATCGAGCCCCGCATCGGGCTCCCTGCTTAGTGGAGAGCCTGCTTCTCCCTCTCCCTCTGCCTGCCACTCTGCCTACTTGTGCTCTCTGTTAAGTAAAAATCTTTAAAAAAATTTTTTTTTAATTTAAGTAATCTATACACCCCATGTGGGGCTCAAACTCATGACCTTGAGATCAAGAGTTGCAGGCTCCACTGACTAAGCCAGGCAGGCACCCCTGTTGCATTTACATCTTTGTTGGCCAATTGCCTCTTTTTTTGTGGGGGGGGGGTAAAATGTCGCAGGAGTTTATGGCTGAGAGACAAGGAGATAACACAGCTATACACTTTGGGGTAACAGGTGGCCGATCATCCACACACTTTGAAAGAACTGACACGATTGGACACTGATCGTGATGCACGGCTGTTACTGGGGTAGTGATCTGTGGACTGCAGAGTTAGCAGCAAGCAGTTAGAACTTCATGCGATCGTTCACAGGTAAAAGACCATGGTAAATGATATTTGAACTGTGTTGCTGGGACCCTGGTGTTATTTAACTAAAACATGTGACTAAAATTCATGTACACTGAAAGAGCACAGAGGAGGACTGCCTGTAGGCAAGCATGTGTCACCTAAAAACCAGGACGTTCTCCTATCATTATCACAGTTAAGTCTCAATAATTTCCTCGTATAACATCCCATCCATACTAAGCATGTCTTCATCGAAGGATCTAGAACACTCTTCCACCCTTTTTTAAGATTTTATTTATTTATTTATTTGACAGACAGAGACAGCGAGAGAGGGAACACAAGCAGGGGGAGTGGGAGAGGGAGAAGCAGGCTTCCCGCTGAGCGGGGAGCCCGATGCGGGGCTCGATCCCAGGACCCCGGGATCATGACCTGACCGAAGGCAGACGCTTAACGACTAAGCCACTCAGGCGCCCCTGCACTCCTCCATCCTTAATTTTTTTTCATGATATGGACTTTTCAGAGAAGCTGTTATTCAGAATGATACTACTCCAAGTGTGATCCACGGACCAGCTGCTTGGGCATCCCCTGGGAAATTGTCACGAATGCAGACTCGTAGGCCCCGTTCCAGAACCATCCTCCGTTTCAGCATGTCTTTTAAAATTGTGCCTGGAACTACTTGAGGCCTCTCAATATAAATTCAGTATTTCTTTGCAACAGTGGACTGTTTAATTATCACCACTCCTATTACCTGTATGCCAAGTACCCTGGATCCCCAGTCTCTTCTTTGTCATGTTTTGCATTATTTTGGTTTATTTGATGTACTTCATGTTTTGCATTATTTTGGTTTATTTGATTTTCCTGATCATTAACTTGAGTCTCATTAGTGACATCTCCTTCAACTCAACTAATGAATTTTAAAATTTGGTAAATGACATTTTTCATATTGTGTGTTTGGTACAACTGAAAATCCTAATAGAGATCTCGTTATTTTTTTGGTCTGTCTCTGCCAGCAGTTTTTTTTTTTTTAGATTTAAATTTTTTTTTTTTTTTAAGATTTTTATTTAGGGGCACCTGGGTGGCTCAGTCGTTAAGTGTCTGCCTTCGGCTCAGGTCATGATCCCGGGGTCCTGGGATCGAGCCCCGCATCGGGCTCCCTGCTCCGCGGGAAGCCTGCTTCTCCCTCTCCCACTCCACCTGCTTGTTTCCTCTCTCTGCATCAAATAAATAAAAAAATCTTTAAAAAAAAGATTTTTATTTAATTTTTCACAGAAAGAGACACAGCGAGAGAGGAATACAAGCAGGGGGAGAGGGAGAGGGAGAAGCAGGCTTCCCGCGGAGCAGGGAGCCCAATGTGGGACTCGATCCCAGGACCCCGGGACCATGACCTGAGCTGAAGGCAGCCGCTTAACAACTGAGCCACCCAGGTGCCCCAAGATTTAAAAAAATTTAGTAAAAAAATTTAAGTAAGTTCGACGTGGGGTCGAACTTACAACCCCAAGAGCACGAGTCGCACGCTCCACTAAGCCAGCCAGGCGCCCATCCTCGAGCAGTTTTTCGTTAAGATCTACCTATTCCTTGTTCCCCCCAGGATGGGTGGGTCTCAAATGGGACTCTACACCAGAATCACCTGGGAAATTTTAAACGTGTTGGGCCTTGGAACCCATCTCCAGAGATTACTGTTTCATTGGCCTGGAGTGAGGCCTGAATGTCAAGAGTTTCAAGAGCTTCCCAGGTTTGCTTGTGGGAGCCTATCCTCGAGGGCTCTTAAAGCAGAAGCAATCCTGTCAGCAAAATCCAGAATATTTTCAAAACTCTACTGCACAAAATTCGGTTTTTCAACAATGCCCTGTGATAAATACCAAGAATGGAGAGTGAAGGGAAGGGAGGGGGCATCTGCAGACTTAGTATAAAAAGTACTCAAGAGACAGACCAACAAATGGCAACACATGAAGCTTATTTGAATCTTGATTTCTCAACAAAGTAACCATAAACATTTACCAGACGACTAGGAAAACTGGAACATTGACTTTAAAAAAAAGTGATAAAATACACATAACAAAAAACTTACCATCTTAACCTTTTCATAGAATAAGGTACATTCACATTGTGTAAATATTAAGGCATTAGTGTGATAATGGTTTTTATATTTGTTTTCAAAAAAAGTGCTTATCTTTTAGAAATACCTACCCTAAAATATTTAGGGATAAAATGATATAAAGTGAGGCTTTTTTTTTCAAAATAGATGAAACAAGACTGGCTTGTTTTGGTAATGAAGTAATTGTTGAAGCTGGCTAACAGAAGGGTAGAATTCATTAGACTATTCTCCACACATTTCTGTGGGCTTGGCATTTTTCTTAAGTTTTTAAAAAACTGGGGCGCCTGGGTGGCTCAGTAGATTGAGCATCTGCCTTGAGCTCAGGTCATGATTTGGGGGTCCTGGGGTTGAGCCCTGTGTCAGACCTCGGCGGGAAGCCTGCTTCTCCCTCATCCTCTCCCACTCCGCCTGCTTGTGTGCTCTCTCTCTCATAAATAAATATTTTTTTTAAAAGTTTTTAAAAATTTAATTTCGTGGTGTTTTTTTTTCAAAGTAGTCTACTGTTGATTTTTTACTTGTCCTTTCTTGTCAATCCTTTTCTGCTCTGCTTCTATTAGTCTATCAGTTCTCACTAGTTTTTTCTGTGATTTCACACATACCTGAAATTTCATTCTGCCTATTTGTTTTCTCTTTTGGGGGGGGGGCTTCAAATTGTCAGAACCATTAGGCACTTTGAATTGACACCCAAGGGTCTCATTTTCCCAAGCGAGCTACCTGGAACGCGAATGGGTCTCCCCCCTACTCCATGCCCGTACGGCCCGTTTTGCACTGACCTTGACTGGCTGGCTGATGAAGAGGTTGTGAAGCACTGATAATATCACCGATGTAACCCAGCTGGTGGCTTGCTCTTTCGTCAGTTCCAGGCTATAAAGTGCAGAAAAAAGGCTGCAGCCAGGCTAGTGACACCCAGAAAGAGCCAGCAGATGTAAGTCAACCCTCTGTGCAGGCCATGAGCGATGGGCTTCTTCCCTTCCTCTGGGCTCAGGATGGGGAAACTGGTGCCCTCCCTTAAGAACAGGTTGAACAGAGGTTGAAGGAATCATCTGAAAGCCAGTAGCAGCTGAGAGAGAGGGGAAGATTGCAGTGATCAGGGAAGGCCGGTGCCGTGCCTTACTGGGAGGGCCCCTGCTCTGTGGGAAGAATATGTGTTTCCAAGAGCTCCTGGAGTTTTTGCAGTCGGTGGTGGCATCAAGGACGTCACAAGGCTGGTCGGCCTGGGTGGGACCCAGGGCACGTAAGTGCGATTGCAGCCACTGCAGAACTCCGAGCAGGTAACAGCAGAGGTGATGCTGGCTTTCAGGAACCACTGCAAATACAAGCCAGGGCTCACGGAGAGGAACAACTCATTCACTGAGGAGGAGGTTACATTTCCCAGTTCATGGAGGCGTGACCCAATAATTATGACTGTCTTCTCTGGGCATGCTGGTGAACTGCTTACAATTTCTAAAATTCTACACTTTGATCCAGAATAATAATAATTTAAAAAAACGCTTTTGATCTAGAAGCAAATAAAAATTTAAGCCTAATTGGGCTTTTTTCACCAGAACTGCAGTAAGTGCCCAGGGGCGGGGGGGGGGGGTGTTGCAAACTATATTCAAGATTCCATAAATCACCTAATCTTCCTATTCCATAAAAGAAAAAGAATGACAAGTCCCAAGAGCTCCCAGCAAAGCAGATGGAGTATGAGGGGGTCTGAACCAGAGGGCATTTTTGTGGGTTCGTCCTTAATCCTTTACTTTGTATCACCAGATATACTGTCGCAAAAGCTATCAGCTCTATCCTGGAAAGCTTAAGGAAAATGAAAACGAGCAGAAGGTTGTATCTTCCTGTTGGTTATGCGGAGAGGTAGGAGGGAGTAAGACGCAGGCAAGTGAGTGGGAGGCAGGTAACAGATCAGTTACTAACACCTGCGGAGGTTTACCATTTGCCTGGTGGGGTCCTGCCTGCTGATGAGAGCCAGGACTCTCCAACTGAGAACAGATGAGGCTGGCTAAAAGCTGTGCCATCTTGTCAATGCTGTGAGACACCCATAAAGATTGTTCCCGCTCTGAGAGTAGGTATGTGTTTCTCCTGAGCAGGAATCCCACAGTTTCCTTTAGTTCCTGAATGTAGACCCAAGATGAGGAAAGTCAGTCTGACATTCACCCAGGACCGGGAGCAGTTACAGATGGTAAGGTCGTCTCTTTACTCGGAGAGGCAAATGCTTAGTGGAAAGAACCTCTATTTTTCATTTTCTTTCTCCTTTTTCAGAAAGAAGTCACCTCACAGTAGCTTCAAAACTGGTTTTATGAGGGCATACAGAATGAAAGAAGGGACAGTTGGATAAAACGTCACCCACGAAAACTCAAGAGTGGTACCTTCTGCACTCACACCCAGTCCTCAGAATACATTAAGAAGAGAGACGAGGGCCATGATGCATCATGGCCCAGGGGACGGGAGTTAGGGAAAAGTTATCAAGGTTAATAGGGCCTGTGAGCCTTCCAGGGGATCGGCTCCACTGGCCTTTCCTACTACACGATGAAGCAGGGCCCACCATCTACCTATAAAATTAGACACCAAGCTTACCTCAGCCACCTTTGTGAGAGACAGAGGCTCAGAAGTAGCATCTGAGGGGCAGGAGGCTTGGCTGGGAGGAAAGAGAGGCGGGGGCTCCTGTGGCTGCAACAGCAGGGAGAGGTGGCCCAATTACAAGATTGACGGGGAAGAGAGTGACAGCAGTTTGGATGTTGATGATCAGTTGGGACCAGGTCACAGGAAACGGACCCACCAGAAGAAGGGCATTACATCAACCTTCATCCTCAAGAGCTGAAGTCACCTGTTATTCCTCTCCCAGGTTTAGGTATTTACTTGGCAATTTAACCATGATTATCTAAAGATAGGACATCATCATGGACATTATCTAGGGCTACAACATCTAAGGATAGGACCAATGTGTTCCCAAGGCTGCTTCACTCAGTGAATGAATGAATGAACGAACTAATGAAGGAGGGTGCACTAAAGTAAAAGGATTACACACCACAAACACCACACGTTAGGCTCCTCCATACCTTGCTCATCTCTCTTGGCCCTGGTGCTGCTGCTCCTCCTCCAGAATATAAGGTTGACGACCATGGTGCACAGAAACAATGTCATGCAGCAAGTAAGCCTCTGGACTCTCGTAAACTGGTTCCAGGGATGCCGAGGTGGCACTGAGAGCCACAGATGATCCTGGGTGAGCTTTTCTACAATGATGGAGGAGAACAGGTGTCCAAGGAGATAAATTAGAACAGGACAGACATGAGTTTTCATCCTGACAGCGTCCTGGACGAAGATGCGGTTTGCCCAGCAACAAGCTCACAGCAACAACTCAGCCACTATCCAATACCTCTGTAAAGATGCTTTCAAAGGACCTGGCAACGTGATTCTTTTGTGATTTTAGGACACAAGGTTTCTGAGGATTAGGTTAATTTATATTGTATGAGTTTAATATTAAAAACTGTTTTTTAAAGCTTTCTAAGAGTTTTGATAAATCTTGTGCTCAACAAAAGTTTGCATCAGGCTTCCACTCAAGATAGTTTGGTAAATTCATACATTGAGCACCTGCTCTACTCCAAATGTGGAGGAACTAGCAATAAGATACAAAAAGAAAGAATAAAACATATTGGCTGGGCTTAAAAACAGGATAAATATATCTGAGGAGGAGAAATGGAATTCAAAACAAAACAAAACAAAACAAAACAAAACAAAACAAAAAAACGAACAGAGCTGCAGAGACCTGCAGAACACCACCATTTCCCACCAGTAACTAAAGGAAAAGAGTTCTTTCTTTGAGACTGGCATGAAGACCCGGTCATGCTCGTGTTCTCCGAGGTCCATGGCCAGCCAACAACTGCATACGAAGTACCATTTCCTTTTACCTGCCATGTCACTGACAATGACCTGGTTTACATACCTACGGTAAAATGAAGATAAGTATGTTAGGGGGGCGGGCGCGGCCTGTTGCTGTAATAAGAAGTAATCTTGTGCTGTCAGTTAATGGATTCTTTTCATTGTGAGGCCAGAACTAAAGAAAGAGACAAGAGCTGATCCAATTTTTCCCTTCCCGACCTCTAAGGGAATTCATGTATCAAAACCAGAAGGCAGACTTCTATCACTTAGCAACGCTCCAGTGTATGTATGTATCCCTTCTTTCCTTGTTCAAATGTGCTGGTGCCCTGCCACCTCTTTAAGGAGCCCATCTGCCTCTCTCTTCTGTCACCAGGGCCTGAGGGGGCGTCCCTGGGGTTGGGGAGTGGTCTTCAACATTCATATTAATGACATCTCATCCTGTTGGGGTCTGTAAACCATACAGTTCAATACATTTCGAGGAATGTAAACACTGTGTAAGTACCACCACCATCAAATTATCACCCCCAAAAGTTCCCTGTGCCCCTTTCCAGTCAGCCCCCGTGAGGCTCACCCTGGGCCCAGGTGACCACTGATCTGCTTTCTGTCTCTTAGATTGGTTTGCCTTTTTTAGAATTTCATATATGTGGATTCATACTTTTGTGTCTGGCTTCTTTCACTCTGTAAAATGTTTCTGAGATTCATCCACATCACTGTATGTATCAAAAGACTGTTCTTTTTGTTGGTGGGTAGTATTTCTTTGAATGAACACGCTAACATTTGTTTCTTCATTCACCTGATGGACATTCATGCTGTTTCTAGTTTGGGATTACTATTAACAAAGCCTCTATGAATGTATGTGTATAAGTGTTGGAAAGGACAAGCATTTTCATTTCTCTTGGGTGATTACCTAGGACTGGAATTTCTGGGTCATATGGTAAATGTCTACTTAACTTCACGAGCCCTGCCAAACTGTTTCTTCACGCGCTGCACCGTTGTGCCTGCCCACCCGTGGTGCGTGAGTTCCACTGGCCTCCAACTTCACCCAAACTCGATTTTGTCAGACTTTATTCTAGTCATTCTAGATTAGATGTTCTGTTCTCTCACTGAGGTTTTAATTTGCATTTCTTGATGTCTAGCGACATTCCGTATCTCTTCAGGTGCCCATTACACGTTACTCAGCTTTACAAATCAAGCTGGAATGATAGTGCACAAGTGCTTTGTAGATGCCTGAACACAGGGGAAACGGCAGGCAAATGCTTAGACTTGACTGGCCTAGTGGTCTCGCGTGGCAGGGAGAGACTTGTGTTGCTAACGGTTTCAGGCAGGCTGCATACTCTTTGCAAGTGGGCAACACTCAGCAACTGATTTGTCTGAGTCCCTGGGCCTTAAACCTTTGGTTCCATTCCATTCTTTTTTCCTAACCCCAATCATCTTGATCCTCAGTTAATGTCATCCTGACTCTCTCTAGGCACCTCCCCTCAGCAGGGAGTCGGCTTCTCCCTCTCCTTCTGCTCCTCCCCTTGCTCGTGTTCTCTCTCTCTCACTTGCTCTTTCTCTCAAATAAATAAATAACATCTTTAAAAAAAATAGATATTTTTCATGTTTAGAGATACTTCCTTTTCTTTTTTTTTTAAAGATGTTATTTATTTGACAGAGAAAGACAGTGAGAGAGGGAACACAAGCAGGGGGAGCGGGAGAGGGGGAAGCAGGCTTCCCACTGAGAAGGGAGCCCGATGCGGGGCTCGAGCCCAGGACCCCGGGATCGTGACCTGAGCCGAAGGCAGAAGACGCCTAACAACTGAGCCACCCAGGCGCCCTAGAGATACTTCTCATTTATAACACTTTGGGCAGTCAGTTGTTATTTGCTCTTTACAATTATGACAACATTAAATGAAAATAAAAGAAAAAATCATCTATCAATTTACCAGCCACACAGAATCATACTGTTAATTCTCCCTGTTTTTCTCCAGGGTTTCCCCTTTGTAGATGCTTTGAAATTTAAATCTACTAGTCTTTTGTTACGATTTGGCCCAAAGTGTTATTGTTCTGCATCGTGGCAGCATGCTGGTCTCACCCCAGAACTGGGGGTCCACAGAGAAGGAAGGACAGGGCCACCTGACACAGGCACTTGCCAGGAAGGGCTGGCCCCCGAGTTGTCGTGCCAGAGCCGCAGGCCATGCAGCTCCCCCAGGAGGACTGGGTGCTGAGGAGGAAGACGTCCAGTCCCTCTCGCTCAAAGACTGTCTTTTGGGGGTCACAAAGGTGATGGGGCTCACTCCATCCCTCTGATCCATAAAGGGTGATAACCACCTAAAACACCACAAGGAAAGATAAAATGCAGGATGTTCTAACATGATCCTTTGGGTTTATCCGTAAGGGGAAAGAGGGAGACAGAGAGGACTGTACTGGGATGAAGCCTCTGGGGGGCTGCACAAGTACAGTGAGCCATACAGACGTACAGTCTAGAACCAGGACCCGCGCTCCTAACGTGCTGCCGGTGAACTGGGGCGTCACCAGGTCACAGTGCATCTCGTGCGCCAGAAGACGCAAGGCAAGGAGGGAAGAGCATTCATTTCACGAACCTTAGCTGTTGTGGTGGCCTTTCTTCGATAGCCAGCAGAGACCTGAGTAAGGTAGTGAAACTGAGAGCTGGGGTCATTATCGGCCAGGACAGTGACTTTCACCTGTAGGAAAAGCAGAACCAAGGAGGAGCTTCACCTAAAAAGCAGGAGGATGCACAGCTCCAGCTTTGGCAACTCAATGGAAAGCAAGGGTGACTGGCGGGTGGTAGGTAAACAAACTAACCTAAGTGATGGAACAGGGGTGAGGGCTGGAAGGCCTGGCCTTATGCTTCCAAAACGAAATAGTCACTGAATCCACTGACCAGGTCTTGGGCTTCAAAATCTTTCCACTTCCCTCCCACCCAGGGAGTGTTACTGCACAACACAGAGGATACCTAGTTAAATGTGAATCTCAGATAAACTATGAATCATTGGGGAGCACACTTAAACTAAAAATGCATTTATATTTATATGAAATTCAAATTTAACTGGGTGTCCTATGTTTTTATTTACTAAAACTGGCAACTCTACACCCACAGCAACAAAGAAATGGACAGCGTGTATTCTAGAATTTCCAAGGGTAAGAAAACATATGAATAAGAAATGCGTACAATACAAGCTAAGAAGGGACTGTCATCTGGGCGCCTGGGTGGCTCAGTCGGTTAAGCATCTGACACTTAGTTTCAGCTCAGGTCGTGATCTGAGGGTTATGAGATCAAGCCCCGAGTAGGACTCTGTACTCAGTGCAGAGTCTGCTTTAGTTTCTCTCTCCCTCTGTCCCTCCCCCTGTGCACGTGTGCTAAGTAAATAAATCCTTAAAAAAAAAAAAAAAGAGGAGGCTGTCATCGAGGGATTTTTTTGTTGTTCAAAAAAGAGATTCCTTATAGGTTTCTTATACATTGCAGTTATGTGATATTACCATTTCACTTCCACATAACTTTCATATCCAATGTATAAAGTGAGATAAACTTGCATTTGATTTTGGTTAAGTTCTGTAGATGTTCTGGATGATTCCTAGCCTAAACGAATCACATGAGGGTTCAACCTCCACTAAAGAAAAAAAAGGAGATAAAGCGTTAAGTTGCTAAGCCCTGAAACAGGAGATCTGAAGAGAAATTTAAGGGGAAAAGTACCCCTAAATTTCTACACCACATAGTACCACACTACCAGCCTCTTCTGGTCAAGGGATTTTTCCATCTCGTTCAACACACTCAATACACTATGGAAAAGCTTCTGGAATCAACGTCTTATCACCCTCTGTGTGTCCGCTTCATCCTTTCTCCAAGCCTACACACATGTGAGTATATAGAATTCTAAAAGGCTGGCCAGCAAAGACACCCCAACAGGGTTGCTGGTCACGCAAAAGAACAGCTTGATCGTGTCTTTAATATTCACCGTCCGGGGCACAATGAAGAAGTCGCTGCCAAAGTAGGCCAGGTGGTTACAGAGACACTGTGTCCTCAAAACTGTGCTCTGTGGCCCAACCTGTCATCAGAATCAAGACGTTGATTCTAACCGAACAGAGTGCTAAGGAAGGGACAAACATAAAACACAAACACAGGCAATTTCAGAGAGGGAAAATCGGTGTCCGGGTTGCGTATTCACTGCTGGAGGTCGCGTACACCGGGGTAAGCAGCGTGGAGAGCGAGCTGGCAGCCTGACTCCTGCCATTCCAGGTCTGAACACTTACCCCAGGGGAAGTCTGCACACGCGCGCAGGGGGATGTGAGAAAGAACGTTTCTGTCGGCATTGTTCTTAACGAAAAAATCGGAAACGACCTGTATGTATATGTCCAGTAACAGCAGAACATACAAAGTAGAGGGCTACTACTGTATACCAATGGGGGAAACTCTGCAGCAGTTAAAATGAATGAGTTAGAGCTGGATATAGTGACGTGCACAAATGCTAAGTGAAAAATACAAGTCAGAGGGGCGCCTGGGCAGCACAGTCGTTAAGCGTCTGCCTTCGGCTCAGGTCATGATCCCAGGGTCCTGGGACCGAGCCCCGTGTCAGGGTCACTGCTCAGCGGGGAGTCTGCTTCTCCCTCTCCCACTCCCCCTGCTTGTGCTCTCTCTCTCTCTCCCCCCTTCTCTCTGTCAAATAAGTAAATAAAATCTTTAAAGAAAAATACAAGTTAAAGAAGGACATGGTACAGATGGTGCCATTTACACAGAGACCAGAAGCGTGCAAAACGACACTCCTGTATCTATGTTTGTCAGTCCCCCTCCTTGGAACAGCAGCTCACGAGGATGCTATCGTGTCCGTCTCTGCAATTCTAGTTCCAGACGTGGGCCTGGCATGTAGGTGATGCCCAGTAAACATGTGCTAGAAGAACGAGGACACATGCCAACCCAGGACAGTGGTCACCCTTTGGTGAGAGGGAGGAAAAAAGACTAAGGGAGATACAGGGGCACCTGGGTGGCTCAGGTGGTTAAGGGTCTGACTCTTGATTTCGGCTCAAGTTATGATCTCAGGGTCGTGAGATCGAGCCCCGTGTCAGGCCCCACGCTCAGAAGCGAGTCTGCTTGAGATTCTGTCTCCCCCTGCCCCTCCCCCTCCTCATGCTCTCTAAAATCTTTAAAAAAAAAAAAAAAAAAAAAGACAGAGGGGATACATAAAGGGCTTTGATTATTCCTGAATGTTTTATTTAAAAAATCTGAACTAAATAGAGCCAAATATTAACTTTGTAATAGAGCTGAACAGTGTTTAATGTTTTTATTATATTATCCCCTATAACTTTCCATATAACATTTCTTCATAAAAAATATTTTTTAGGGGCACCTGGGTGGCTCAGTCGGTTAAGCGACTGCTTTCGGCTCAGGTCATGATCCTGGAGTCCCGGGATCGAGTCCCACATCGGGCTCCCTGCTCGGCAGGAAGTCTGCTTCTCCCTCCGACCCTCTTCCCTCTTGTGCTATCTCTCATTCTCTCTGTCTCTAATAAATAAACTTAAAAAATTTAAAAAAATAAATGTGCCTTAACTTCTAAAAAATATATATATATATTTTTTAAAATATCACCAGGCAATCAAATGGCAGGTACCAATTCCACGTTTGATGGTGCAGATGAAAAGCTGAAAATACTGTCAGGATGACTGACTGCTTTCCACGACACAAGGTCAAGTTCTGGGTGCGGGGCTATCTCTTGCCCTGGGAGGAACTCTCATCCTGCTCCCTGCAGCTCTGTTCCTTGCATGGGGTCCAAGCGCTGCACAGGGCTTCCAGGAGGCAGGAAACCCCCTGGTACCTTTTGTGAGCAGTGGGGTCACTGCTGGCTGAGTCTTGCTACTCAAAGTGCTGTCTCCATGTCTGGGAGCACTGGTATCACCTGGGAGCCTGTTAGAAAGGCAGAAGCTAAGGTTCCACCCTGATTTACTGCAACAGAATCTGCCATTGAACAGGCTCCCAGATAGAGGATTTGCTAGAGAGGCACTGCTCCAGATCTTCCAGAAATCACTGCTGAGGCCATGAACGGTGTCGGTGCCTTCCAGAGCAGTCTTTTCCCTCTGTTCCCATGTGAATGATCCCCTCTCAGCTCTGTGACAAACAGCCTCATGATTCCCAGAACCTTGCACAACAGTCTTTGTGCAACTGAACCAGGACTTAAATCAGATGGGATCGCACATATTCACCATTGTGAAAATGCAGAGTGCCATTTTAAAGTGGGCATATACCTGGAACTAGGTAACAACGTGAAAAGTCCCCACCTGGCCTGGAGTGTACAAGAATCTGCTAGCTTTTTTTTTTTTAAGATTTTATTTATTTATTCATGAGAGACAGAGGGAGAGAGAGAGAAGCAGGCTCCCAAGGAGCAGGGAGCCCGATGTGGGGCTCGATCCCAGGACATGAGGATCATGACCTGAGCCGAAGGCAGACACTTAACCGACTAAGCCACCCAGGTGCCTCTGCTAGCTTATTTTTACAAAAGTTCTCTTTCATTGAGCAAGAAGTTTTCCTTTTACCCACAACATATTTAATACTGGCAGAACTCCTACATATTGCTTACTTCATCTGGAACTGTCAGATTCACCCTGGACTCATGTCTGAGAAAGAAATGACAGACATGAAGCATAAGCCTGCTCCAAAGAGACACACTCTCCTGGCCTGCTACACACAATCCTTCTCTTTTTCCCAGGCTGACTTATTTCCCCTCTGATGAATTTTCTTTCTGGGCCCGCCCAAACGAGGTAAAAGAAGCTCTGCGTTTCATGCCAGCTCAGGCAGGAGAGAAAGAGGAAGTGGTGTGACTTCTTACGTGGCATCCACCACTCTTCCACGTGCTGTTGTGGCTGTCCCAGAAATAACACTGCGTGACGGCTGTCACCACCGAGAACAGGGTGGGCATCTGCTGGGCACTCTCCTGGCTCTTGTTCAATGTGGCTGTTAGGTGGTAGGTGCCGGTCCCATACTGCAGACTCTCTGGAGTCAGCACCCATGTATATTCCTCATCTGAGAACCAAGAACAGTGCTTAGATGCATTTCAAATGGGACAAAAGTACAGTGAGAACCTTCCTTATGAAGGATCTATTATTATCATTATTTTATTTTATAAATGGGGAAATGATTAAGCCTAGACTTACAAATGATTTTATTTTTTTTTAAGATTTGAGAGAGTGAGAGAGAGTGTTTGAGCACACATGAACAGGAGGGGCAGAGGAAGAGAGAAGCTCAAGCAGAGAAACTCTGTGCTGAGCGTGGAGCCCAACACGGGGCTGGATCCCACGACCCTGAGATCATGACCTGAGCTGAAACCAAGAGTCAGATGCTTAACTGACTGCGCCACCCAGGCTCCCCACAAATGATTTTAAGGAAAATGACCAGTGATACAACCTGGGGCTCTGGATTACTCCTGTTCCAATAAGAAATCGTATTTTTTTTTTTTTGATAAATGAAGATTTAGGTCTAATGAATCAGAATATATTATGAGTTTTAGAAAAATGAAATCGTCACCCATCAAAGTGAGTAGCTACAAGACCTAGCTAAGAAAAGAAGCCCAAGATGAAGCAAGGATGGGAACAGAGCGGTTCCAGGAAAGAGCCCTGATTCCAGGCCCAGCTCTGTCACTATGTGGCTGGGAAGGGCTAAGGAAAGTCCCACAATCTCCCTAGTTTTCTCACTTTCAAACAAGGACTCTGGACCAGAGGATGTCTAATATCCCTTCCAGCTCCAACTGACATGATACTGGCAAGACTGGCAAGGAAAATGGGAGTGCATGCTCTGAATCGGGAGCGAGCCTTTTGGTAGCCCCATAGTGAGAGATGCTGCCACAGGTGCTCTAAGAACAAGAAGAGCCTAAAACGTGAGCATTCCTGTGTTAGTGAGGCCTACACCAGAGCCAGAAGTAGCTCATTCAACCCGGGCAGACCATAATAGAAGGAGACTATAACATGATATATCCATTCCGATGACTCCCCCCACCCCATTTTTTTAAATGCAAAGGGTAGCTCTGAAGACTTCCCAGTACTACATTTATTTATTTTTGTTGTTAGTTTTAGAATAATTTTATTTATTTAAATTCAATTAACATAGTGTATTATTAGTTTCAGAGGCAGAGTTCAGTGATGCATCAGTCTTATATAACACCCGGTGCTCATTACATCACGCGCCCTCAACGTCCATCACCCCGTTACCCTCCATATCCCCCAGTACTACTTTTAAAGTAGATATCCAGTGACTACGTTTTTTGGTCAAGTATATCTAGGCCCTGTTTATGTATCACAGGAATTCTTAGCTATTCTAAGCTACAATGTAGTCCATCTGGTATTATACCAAGACTTACTGAGACATCTCTGTCCTTATCCAAATCTAAGATTAGACATGAAGTTTGAAATATAGATATAACCCACTATGCTGGAATTTTACTTCTCAACATCATGGAAATGTTCAACCATTCAGAAAGTTGACTATTATACAGTGAACACACAAATAATCACTGAATAGATTCTATAATTAACATTTTACTAAACTTGGAGCACTTGGCTGGCTCAGTCAGAAGAGCATGCGACTCTTGTGCTCACTTGGGCAGCACATATACTAGAAGAGCATGTGACTCTTGATCTCAGGGCATGAGTTCGAGCCCCACATGGGGTGTGAAGATTACTTAAATGAGTAAAACTTAAACAAAAAAACATTCTACTAAATTTGCTTTATCACATATAAATCTTGATCCATTCAACAATTTATCTTTTTAAAAAATGCATTTCATGGTCATGTATAAATTATACATGTGAGGGGTGCCTGGGTGGCTCAGTTGTTAAGCGTCTGCCTTCGGCTCAGGTCACGCGCCCAGGGTCCTGGGATCGAGCCATGCATCGGGCTCCCTGCTCAGCGGGAAGCCTGCTTCTCCCTCTCCCGCTCCCCCTGCTTGTGTTCACTCTCTTGCTGTGTCTCTCTCTGTCAAATAAATAAAATCTTAAAAAAAAATTATACATGTGGGCGCCTGGGTGGCTCAGTTGGTTAAGCAGTTGCCTTCGGCTCAGGTCATGATCCTGGAGTCCCGGGGTCGAGTCCCGCATCGGGCTCCCTGCTCGGCGGGGAGTCTGCTTCTCCCTCTGACCCTCCCCTCTCTCATGCTCTCTCTCTCTCTCTCATTCTCTCTCTCAAATAAACAAATAAAATCTTAAAAAAAAGTTTAAAAAAATTATACATGTGATAAAACTACATAGAACTAATAAACACACATACACGAGTGCATGGTTGCATGGTGAATCCAAATGAGGTCAACATATGGTATCAGTGTCATTTCCCAGTTAGGATATTGTGCTATAGTTATGCAAGATGTCACCATTAGGATAAACTGGATGAAGTGTATGAGATCTGTTTTACTTTTCACAATTCCATGAGAACCTACAGTTACCTCGAAATAAAAACTAAAAAAAAAAAAGAAGAAGAAGAAAATGCATTTCAAAGGAAGTTTCTGTTTAGGGCTTTACCTTTTTGCCACACCTGATTCTTTGGGAGGGTGATGTTCAGGTTGAAGTGGGTGTGGTTAGGCTGATACTGGAACCCCAGATAGAGTGTCATTAAAAGGGACTTTCAGGTTGTATGCACACGATCAGGGATTTCTCCAGGGAAGTGATGTTCACTATGACAATAAAATGATCTGAGCTCACGTTGAGGCTGGTAGGATGGATTTCCATGCTAACATTTCTCCACAGTATGATCTAGAAGAAGACAGTTAATCAATCTTCAAGTTCAAGATGGTTCATCCATTGATGTCTTTCAGTCTCCTTTCTAGTGATAATGGAATGTAACTTCCTAAGTCTTTCTCTCTCAGCTTTAACAGGTAACACAGAGCCAGGGGTTAAGGGACAATATACAATCTCCGACCTAAAACACCTTCCCCTAAAGGTAAGGTAATCTCCATGTATAAGTTCCCAAGTGAAGATGTGAATAATCAAATAATGGCACTGATGTGAATCTAACATGACTTTCTTCCATTCTGTTCTCCAAGAATTCCTATTCCCTTCTCTTTCATTCCCTAGTAATCAAGTCATACCTCAATATCTTCCATTAAATCATCAACTTGGAACAATTTATGATTAGAGCTTAGGAACACACTTCTGATGTTTCCAACAATGTTCTTGTCATCAAAATCCCTGAAGGGATTGAAAACTAGTCCTGTTACCTACAGACAAGAAAACTCAGTTTCACCCATTGCTGAAATCTTTAGAAATAACACCCTGATAGGTAATAAGGTGTCAGATATCAAAAATTAAAGTAAATGTTGGGATTTTTCCCCTTGCTAATATCTCAAATGAAATAATACTTCTCATTAGAACATCATATGGGAAAGAATTAATTAAAGATGAGTCATTTACTTGGGACCCTCAGAATTATTATTTTTTTTTACATCTTCATACCTGGAGGATTCATGATTACTAGGAAGTTGAGAATTCTGCTCTCCAGGACAAGGTACCAACCTTACTTCTGTTTGTTGGGTAAGAAATACAATATACTGAAATACAGTATATACTGATATGGCTAAGTTGATATATAGAGTGAATACATATTCAGGTATTCCCAGCTTTGTATGTACATAGTGAAGTGATGAGAACAATTCAAACCATAACACAGAAACTGTCAAATCCAGAAGTCTAGTTAATGCTCCCAACCTCTACCATGGATCATTTTTAAAGGCCTCCATTCCTGACATCATAAAACAGAAATCCAGGGCACCCAGCCTTCTCTTGTTTGGTCTGGTGAGCTTACATTTCATGGTGCAGCCCCTTCGTGGTACACTCAAATGCCTGCAGCCATCAATCTCATTTCCATTTGTATCAGAATCAATTTTACACTCACTTGGACATTAACTCCAGGGTGTCTGTTCAAGAGCTCTTGCAAAGCTGAGGCTGATGGAAAGCCTAACCTCACAGGTGCTGAGGACCAGAGAGTGTAGGAGCTCAGAGGCCAGGTTGACATGTTTTGGCTAAGGAAGGAGAAATTAAAGAGAAATCAATTTCTGTGTATTTTCTAAAGATCCAAAACCTAAAATGAACCTCTCCCCACTCCTCCTGTTACCTGCTCAGCATCAGAGTAGCAACCGAAGAGGTCAAAGTCACTAAAGACCCAGAAAACTGGTTCTGCTGTAGAAATGCTTCCTGGATCTTCCCAAGGGCCAGCAAGGCCATTTCCAGCGTATATTCTACCTACATTTAGAAGGAAACACCACGTGACCTGAGTAACCTCAGTGGATAATGGTTTTAGAGGGGTTGGACAGGGGACAAAGATCTTGATGGTGAAATAAGGAAAGGTGACATTCTTTGGAAAGGACCCAAAGAAAGTACTTCCAGTCTGGCTAGACTCACCATCCTTTGTATCAACTAAGAGGGCTACCCAAGGACATATTTCTTTGTTCCATTATAGAAGCTGTCCTGGACCTTTTTATTTATTTATTTTTTTAAGAGGAGGAGAGAGAGAGAGGGGCAGAGGGAGAGGGAGAGTCTCAAGCAGACTCCCCACCCAGCACAGAGCCTGACAATGGACTTGATCTCACGACCCTGAAATCACGACCTGAGTCAAAATCAAGAGTTGGATGCTCAACCAACTGAGCCACCCAGGCTTCCCAAGATTAAAAAGTTTCTAAAATGAGAACAACATCAGCATCTTCTGCACGTACCTGCTCAATGTCATGCTTGGATCTTTGCAGACTGGCTTCACCAGCTTCCATGACACTGTCGAGGGAGTAAACGAAGCAGACGGTCATGGGGTTTTCGAAGCTCAGACTGCTGTTGATCTTAAGTGCCTTCTCAGGTAACTGCTCATTCAGGTCAACAAGGGGACTGAGGACACTTACCTGGGAGTTTTAGGAAGCAAACACACACCCCTGAGCTGTTTCTGCCTGTTTTAAATTTATTTGTGTTCTTCTTATCAGAAGTTCAAGGTTCTTTATGCATTTCAAACATATTTTTATAAAAAGCACTATTATAACTTGGCAGGGAACGAAAATATGTTAGCTATGACCTACAGGGAGGATTCGTATTTCATGTTATTCCAAGGAACCGACAGAACCCTCCTGGAGTGGTAACTATCAAATAGCTAATTCAAAAAACTAAGCTAAAAAAAGGAAAAGAGCAGTAGTGGCTGGAACACTGAGTATACTATCCCTTGAAACTCGGGTCTCAAAAGGCTTCAAGATTGACTTAACATAGAGAACAAGAAAAATTCTAAGTGAAACAGAAGACCCCAATTCTCCTTTCGGTAGGTTGTTCTCATGCAAAACAAGTAAGAAGGTTAAGCAAATTGACAGAATATCCACTATAGGTAAAACTATTTTGCTTTTGAAATGTTTTTGTTTCAAAGTAACACTTATTAAAAACTTCTGCATAAAAAAGATCCAGTAGACAAAATTAAAAAATAAGACATGAGCACAAAATATTTGCAACACATATAACAAAAGGTCAACATCAATAATACAGCTCTCTTACAAACACATAAGAAAAATGACAAACAACCCACTGGGGGGAAAATGGACAAAGGACATGAAAAAGCAATGGAGAGGAGAAATACACATGGTCAATCAATACATATTATGATGTTCAACCTCCTTAGTAATCAATAAAATGTTCCCTCCTCCTTTTCTTTCTTTTCTTGCTTTTGAAATTGGGAAAGTGTGGGGCAATGGTTGGTGGGGATGTAAAACAGTGCCTGTTTATTTATTTGAGAGAGAGAGACACATGGCGGGGGAGGCAGAGGGGGAGAGAGAGAGAGAGAGAGAGAGAGAATCCAAAGCAGGCTCCATGCTGGCTTGATCCCATGATCCCGAGATCATGACCTGAGCCAAAATCAAGAGTTAGATGCTCAACCAAGCCACCCAAGCGTCCCCAAACAGTTCCTCTTGAAAGACTATTTTGTCATCTATTGAAAATGCAAAAGCCCCTGGGGCGCCCGGGTGGCTCAGTCATTAGGCAGCTGCCTTCAGCTCAGGTCATGATCCCAGGGTCCTGGGATTGAGCCCTACATCGGGCTCCCTGCTAGGCAGAAGCCTGCTTCTCCCTCTCCCACTCCCCCTGCTTGTGTTCCCTCTCTCACTATGTCTCTCTCTGTCAAATAAATAAATAAAATCTTAAAAAAAAAAAAGAAAATGCAAAAGCCCCTCACTTCTATCTCTGGCACTCTATTGCACAGAAATAGTTGCATAAGTACTTAGTGACGTAGGGACATGGATGTTCATGGGTATGTTATTTCTGAGAGTAGACAAGTGAAAAATGTCCAAACGCACATGAAGAATTATTGGTTCATTTATGTGTACTGACACAAAAAGATATCCATGACACAGCATTAAGTAAAAAAAAAAATCAACAGGCTGAAAAATGTGTATACTTTAACCCCATTTTTGTTAAATCGATAAACTTGTCTATGCATAGAAAAAAGTCTGGCAGGCTATGCGTGACAAATTAATGATAATCTGATAATAGCGACTACATCTAGAGAATGGGATTAGCTAGAAGGACAAAGATGGTGAGGGCTTTTGGTTTGTAAGTTTATATGCTCTTGTTCAGATTTTTTAATAACAATCATGCATTATTTCCGTAATTAAGAAGTCCAAATAGGGGTACCTGGGAGGCTCAGTCGGTTAAGCATCTGACTCTTGATTTTGGCTCAGGTCATGGTCTCAGGGTCCTAAGAATGAGCCCCCACGTCAGGGCTCAGCGCTGGGCATGGAGCCTGCTTAAGGTTCTCTCTCTCTCCCTCTGCACCCCCACCCGCCCGCCCGCCCGCACATGTGTTCTCTTTCTCTCTTTCTTTCTCTCTCAAAAAAAAAAAAAAAAAAGAAGCCCAAATAAAATGGCACAGATTACATTGATAGGCTTATTGCAGAATATCTGAAAATACAGAGCATGGAAAAGAAAAAATGAAAATTCTCACGAATTCTAGGCCCTTAATTTACTCATGTGTAGGGAGTAGAGACAGGCACAAAGAACATTTGTGGCAGCCACAAATGCAAATATCATGGGGCACTGAAGGCCGATGCCTGTTTCAGAGCTGAAATGCTCTATCTTGGGCAAGGAGTGGATCTATTTCTGTCTCCCATAATGTCTAGCAAATATATCAGAAAGGCAGTAACCTGATAAATGAACAAAAGAAACACAGCATATCTCAGAAAGTCATTACTGATTAATTTATTTGCGATCTTCAGAGTCAAAGGTACAAATACACTGGCTAAATATTATATTGGGTCTCCATAAAATAGTTCATAAGGCTAAATTCTCCACAGGGCACCATCTCCAGATTTTGTATTTTCTGTTTTATACACCTTTTCTCTGTTTTGCTTCCCCCTTTCTCCTATCTCGTTTCCTCCCAATCATCCTCTGCTTACCTGAGCTGACTCAGAAAATCCTGGGATAAAGGCTGTCCGTTTCTGGATCATCTCACAAGCTGTCTGTAGTTTGCTGTGAGTTTGCAAACCGTGAATCGGTTTGCTCAAGTTCCCTGCTATCTCGTCTACGACCCTCTGGGAATGAAGGATTTTGCCAAAATTATTTAAAGAAAATGACTGCACTTTAGTAGTTTGAGACATTGTTTTAACAAGAATTGACAGGACAAACTTGATGAATCACAGGCTCCTCATAACACTTATTACTTTCAGAAGCGTTTCTGCAAGCAGATAGAATTTTCCCCTTTCACAGAGTAGAGGAATAGGTACCACAGTCATACAATGATTGATACAGGGACAGATGGGTCCGGAAATAAGATTTATGAGAGAGGTTTAAATCTCATGGCCATGATCAAAAGTGAGGGAAACACCTGGAAATCACAACAAAAACAAACTTTTCTATTCAGGAGTATGCTTATCTCAGGTTTCCCACTGGTTTATGTCCCTTGATTCAAGAGTTCATGTTCGAGAGGGAAGTACCTGAATATGGTAGTTTCTGAGAAAGCAAACCCACAACTCTGGATGTGGTCCTAAAACTTTAAGAGGCTACTGCTTTTGAACCGGAAGTCCTGCCCTGAGAAATCTCTGTTTACACCAGCTACGTAGTTCCATTTCTAGAGAACAACCCACTGCAGCTTAATTCAGTCAGTAGTCAGTAAATCTTTATTAAATGCCTACTGTGTGCAGCTGGGTTCAGGAGTTACAGCTGTTAAAGTTGGTCATGATCCAGCCCTTGTGGGCCATACCACTGAATAGGGTTATTTGTAATTCACAGGGTTTGCAGGTTAGATCAGTTACAGAATGATCTTAGAGTTGAGGACCACCCAGTTTTGGGTGCATTCTTTGGGACCAAGGTGTAAATAAGCAGGAATAAAGGTATGAGTGAGATCCAGGTGCCACCCAACTGCATGTTTTCGAGGGGAGGTCAGGTCCTATTTAATGCCATTCTAGCTATAGCCAGAAAGGACACTGATAGCTTATTTGATGTTTCAGAGCTGGGCTGAACCATGATAGATCTCACCATTTTCTTCGCCTTTCTTTAATGGCTCTTAATAAAGCTTTATAGTTGTCTCCATACAAGTTGTGCCCATCTTTGGTTACATTTACGCCTACGTACTTGCTAGTCTACCTTTTTTTTTTTTTTTTTTTTAAGAAAGAGACCCTGTGCTAGGTGGGGCGGGGAGGGGCAGGGGAGAGGGGGAATCCTAAACCAGCTCCTCGCTGAGTGCATGGCCAAAATCAAGAGTCAGACACTTAACTGATGGAGCCACCAGGAGGCCCCGCTATTCTATCTTTAAAAAAAAAAAAAAAAATCTAATTTTCTAACTGATTGATGCTGATATGTAAAAGTACAATTAGCTTTAGTATATTGATCTGGCATTCAGCAACACTGACAAGTTCTCGTAATGTTTCTAATAATTTATCTGTAGGCCTTTTTGGGTATTCTAACTACAGACTTCTCTCTATTTAAGGAAAACAAGGCACTCTGTGTTTAAGCTACTGGAGATGAGTTTTTCTGCCAGGAGAACACAGTGCTAACTGAAACAAGAGTGAACATCTAGTTCCAATTCACGCTGGTAGCAGATCCAACATAAACAGGATTATCTTTCAGCAAAGAAATGTTAGATTACATATAAGTAGGGCTTGTTCTGAAAAATAATATATATATAGGGAGAAGCGGGATGATTTTCTTCAGTCAACATGATCAAAGTGGCTTTGCTTTTTTTTTTTTTTTGAAGTTTGTGGGGGAAAAGGGAACAGAGGGGAAGGGGAACTGGGATGCTGAGTAGGAAGAACAGTCCAGAAGGGTGTGCCACTGCCGGAAAATTGGGGCAGGTGGACAAAACCTCCTCCCCATCTGAAGCACTAAACATAAGAGCATTACATAAAAACAAGACATGAAAATCCTGAAGTGGGTATGGAACCCATTGTGGGCTATTTCCATGGGCTCGCTCAGTGCTTGCTTTTCACTGGGGCACGTGCTCGTGTCAGGCATTCTGCGGGAGAGCTCTGCTCAGAGGTAGAGGGTGAACTGGGCCCCTTCCTTACATGGCTATTCTTGAAGCATCACCAAAACAGAAGGAAATAATAGAAGTACTTTTCGCAGCGTCACGAAGGTCCCCGGGGTGACCTTGGTTTTCTGTATTTACCTGATCGGATGCATCCTGAAGTGATGTTCGTAGGTGAATGGTGAAGACCTCCACCTGGGAATCCTCTCTGGGGCTTGAGGTCACCTCTACCAGAGCTTGCACAGACCGTGTTTCAGGCACAGGCCCAGTGAGTGCTGGGGTACCAGGAAGATGCTGGCTGGCAGGCGCCGAGGTCACTGCCAGGACCTGCCATGTGGCTTTGGGTGGTGTTGAAGGAAATGGGCTGAGGGGAAGACAAAGGGTCTTGGACTGAGAGGTACGTAAGGGAAGAGGCCGAATCAGATTTTACCATGTGAAAATTAAGGCAGTGTTTCCAAAATTATTCTGGCTCTCCCATGTCCCACAGGATATTAATGGGCATTTCTCTCAAAAAGATCCAGTGCTCAGTTTTGAAAATGTGGCATATTACCCTCTTTAAGATTCACAATTTACAAAAAAAAAAGGAGGGCACTTGATGCGATGGGCACTGGGTGTTATATGCAACTGATAAATCACTAAATTCTACCTCTGAAACTAAAAAATACACTATATGTTAAATAATTGAATTTAAATAAAAAAGATTCACAATTTACATTTGTGTATTTATTATCAACCATTCAATAAATTATAATTAAACATCTACCACATGCTAAGCCATGTCCTGGGGAACTAAGGATACAGCAATGAACAAAATAAGCCAAGTTCTAGCCCTCATGGAGCCTTCATTTTCGTAGTGGAGGCAAATTATACTATGTATTAAATCAGTGCCATGAAGAAAAACAATAAAAGTAAGTGGATGAAATGAAAGGGTGTGTTTCAGATAAAGTGCTCAGATGTATGGAGACAGCATTTTTGCTGAGAGTTGAAATAAAGGGAGAAAGTTCTGAGAATATATTGGAGATGGGCATCTGAGAAGTGCAAAGGCCCTGAGGTCACAGCCTGATGGGTCTGTCTGAGGAAGAACAGGAAGCCAGATGAGCAGAACTGGGACGTTGGGGAGATCAGTAAGATTCTGGGGGTGGGGGTGGGAATGACGGATGGGACTGGGGAGAGCATTCACATGTCAGGCAAAGGAGAAGAGAGTCATTTTACCTTGAATGAGATGGGAAGACCTCGGGGGCTTTGAGGAGCCACAGCAGGAGTTGACTTGTGTTGTAAAGGATCACTCCTCTGACTGCTGTGTTGAGGACTGACAGCAATGGGCCAAGGGCAGAAGCAGGATTAGATAAGCAGGAGGCAGATGCAGAGTTTGCCTGGGAGATGATGGGGGCTTAGATCACGGTGTGATAATGGTGAAGCTGGTGGGAAGTGGTTAGGTTTGGCTCTGAGAAGTCCTACAGTCAAAAACCTTTGTTTTCTTTCCTTCTGGAAAGGTTTTAAGCAACGCTGGTTACTACTCTGTAGAATATCGCTTGGAAAATACTGATTTAAGGGATTTTGACCTCATCCTTGTTCTCTTTCATATATCTAGAAATGCTTATTTTTTGCAGTGGGTCCAGTAAATGTAAATAAATCTGTCTTTAGACATCCAGTGAAGGGTTTCTATGTAGGACAAAGAGGCAAGAAGGCTGAGAAATTTCTCGATTTTGAAATTTTATACATTATGCAGTTTCTACTTTTATTTTCCTTCCACTCAGGTATTTTTCCTTTTTTATTATTTTTTGCTTTATTACTTATTTATTTATTATTTTTTAAAGATTTTATTTATTTATTCATGAAAGACAGAAAGAGAGAGAGAGAGAGGCAGAGGGAGAAGCAGGCTCCCAAGGAGCAGGGAGCCCGATGCGGGACTCGATCCCAGGACCCTGGGACCACGACCTGAGCCGAAGGCAGACGCTTAACCATCTGAGCCACCCAGGCGCACTATTATTTATTTTTAAAAAGATTTTATTTATTTGTCAGAGACAGAGAGAGAGAGAGAGAGCACAAGCAGAGGAAGCAGCAGGCAGAGGGAGAGGGAGAAGCAGGCTCCTCGCGGAGCAGGGAGCCCGATATGGGACTCGATCCCAGGACCCTGGGATCATGACCTGAGCTGAAGGCAGACATTTAACTGAGACAACCAGCACCCTCTTTCCCCCCTTTTTAAATTAAATTTTTTATTGTTATGTTAATCACCATACATTACATCATTAGTTTTTGATGTAGTGTTCCATGATTCATTGTTTGTGCATAGCACCCAGTGCCCCATGCAGAACGTGCCCCCTTGAATACCCATCACCAGGCTAACCCAT